GCAATGAGTAAAGAGCGATTTCAGGTGCCTTGCATTTTAGGGTATACTGGGGATGGACCTTTTTCTTTTAAGAAGCATAAATGTTGGGGTACCTGGGTGGCTCAGTTGTTAAGTGTCTGCCTTTGGCTCAGGTCTTGATCCCAGAGTGCTGGGATGGAGCCCTGCATCGGGCTCGCTGCTCAGCATGAAGCCTACTTCTCCCTCTCCCACTCCCCTGCTTGTGTCCCTTCTCTCGCTATCCCTCTCTCTGTCAAATAAATAAATAAAATCTTAAAAAACAACAAAAAAAAGCGTAGATGTTATAGTTAGCTGGAAACTTAGAGGTCATGTAGTCTAGGAGCTCCCAAATTGGTGAGGCTCAGAATCACCAGGGGAGCATGTGAAACCTTCATTTCTGAGTTCTGCCCTCAGAAATACTGATTAAATAGATTGGGGTAAAGTCTGGCAAATTTTTAATAGCATGTAGGTAAGTAAGTCTGTTGTAGCATATTTTCATCTATTTTATAGGTCAGGAAATTAAGGCTCAGCTCACAGTGTTAGAAAAAAAGACTTGGTGCAAAATGTTAATTAACAATTACATTTTTGGAGGATATTTATTCGTGCATTAATTCAATAAGCCCTGCTGTGTGGAGGAACTGTTACATAAGAACAAGATCCTTCTTAATTGTATATAGCCCCAAATTTTTAATGGGAGAGCTAAGATAAAAACCACGAAGTGGGAGCGCCTGGGTGGCTCAGTGGGTTAAGCCTCTGCCTTCGGCTCAGGTCATGATCCCAGGGTCCTGGGATCAAGCCCCACGTTGGGCTCCCTGCTCAGTGGGGAGCCTGCTTCCCCCCTCCTCTCTCTGTCTGCCTCTCTGCCTACTCCTGATCTCTCTCTCTCTCTCTCTCTGTCAAATAAATAAATAAATAAAATCTTTGAAAAAAAAAAACAAACCACAAAGTGATGTTTCAGAAAAGCTCTTGCAAGAAGTTAGAAGAAGAGGTAGAATTGAATTCTACCTCTGTCATCTATTAGTTCTGCTACCATGAGCAATTCACTAATCTCCCCGAGCTGCAGTTTGTTACTTGGAAAAATAGAGATAGCCTTTCCCATCCTGCAAGGTAAATAAGAATATAGGATACCTCTTGGAAAATGGTAGAGTTGTATGAAATGTATTTATGTGTTCAACATTGTAACTAATATGCTGGGCTCTGGAGCTTACTGACATTGTTCCTGCTCATAAAGACTGCTGGAAGAGACAAACCTACATGTTGGTATAAAGTGAAAAATAGTATTTTAGAGATTACGAGCAAAGTACTTTGGAGCATAACTGAGGCGGTGCCTGGAGAGAGTCAGGAAAGCTTAGAGAAAGTGACATTTGATCTGTGCCTTAAAAGGATGAGAAGCTCGCCTGGCAAAGACCGGAGAGTTACATGTGTGAAAACGTGGAGTCCTGAAAGCATGGTGTGCTTGGATAAGACAGGATGTCTTTTGTACTTGGACAGTGGATAGCCGTTGGTGGGCTGGACTCTGAGGGCCTCTGTGCCAGGAATTTGAATATTTTCATACATGCAAAGGAGGTTTGGAGCATGAATTCTTGATTCAATAGAACTTTTAGATAGGGAGGATGTCTGGGTGTCTCAGTCGGTTAAGGATCTGACTCTTGATTTCAGCTCAGGTGGTGATACCAGGATGGTGAGATGGAGCCTCTCACACCTGGCTGGTGCTCAGCAAGGAATCAGCTTGAAAATCTCTGTCCCTCTGCTCCTCCTTCCCACTCGTGCGTGCTTGCTCTCGTGCTCTGTCTCTTAAATAAATAATTTTTTTTTTTTTAAGAACTTTTAGACAGGTAACTATAACTTTTTCTGGAGAAAGATTTGGAAGGAGAATGGCTAGAGATTGTCATTATTATTGCTTTGTTAGCAAGTTTTATAGTTTAACACTTGCTATGAACCCTAATGATACCAGCCTTTGCCCTATTGGGCATTTGGCTTGTTTTTGCTGTTCTACATGCTGTTCCGTATAGAGGACTTTGCCTCTTTTAAATCATTTCCTAAGGATAATTCTCCAGGAGCATTAACATATCAAAAGATCTGATCCTTATAGTGCCTCAGTATTTCTCTTACCCTGCAAAACGATGTGTTAATTTTTGATCTCACAAGCAGTATAAAAAGCACACTGTTTCACCACATTCAATAGCATTTGGTGCTAAGTTATACTATCTTAGTAGTCCTCTTTCATTTCCATTTTTCTGATTACAAGGAAGGATGTATATATTTTTCTGTGTGTAGCAGTGTTAACTCTATGTAAACTTCAGTACTGATATTTTAATTACCTTTTTCTTTTCATTTCTTAATTTTCCTATTTCTTGAGTAAAACTGCTAAGTTTAAGTAAATATTTTCAACAGCATAATTATTATTTTTACAGATAAATGATCTGCCTCAGACTAAAATAGATTGAGTGTGTTTGAATTTTACCTTTCACAGGCATGTTGGGCTAGTGCGCTCATTCAGTTAGTGCTAACGTCAGGGATGTCCACGGGAGCTGGTACTGATTCTTCCAACTTTGTTAGAACTAATATGCTTTTAAAGAACGGTCCTTAAAGTTTGTGGAGTTTTTTTTTTCATTAAATATTGTTCATCTTGATACTGAAATTGATTTATACTTACCTTTAAAGCTTAGTAATGTTAGGGACGCCTGGGTGTCTCAGTTGGTTACGTGGCTGACTCTCGATTTCGGCTCAGGTCATGATCTAATAATGGTCATGGAATTGAGCCCTGTGTATGGCTCCTTGCTCAGCAGGGTGTCTGCTTAAGGATTCTCTCTTCCTCTCCCTTTGTCCCTCCCCTCGCTCGTTCTCTTTCTAAAGTAAATAAATAAATCTTCCCAAAAAACACAACTTAGTAATGTTAAATTCAGGCTTCTCTTTTGGACTCAATTTTTTAAATTAAAATTATAACACCATACACGGTCACTCTTAAGAAACCCTATTTACTCATAACTTTACCTACAGTGCCCAAGTTTTCTTCAAAGGCAGTCTTTTCATAGTTATCTAAAGCAGTTTCTGCATTCTTACTACCCTAACTTATTAAGTTCTCTAGTGGATGGCATGGCTTTTTCTAAGCACTCCCAGTCTGAATAAATTATTTCTTTTCCAAGGGGATTCAGTATAAAGCTATCATTGACTAAGAGGGAAGTATATTTCTTCTCTTTTTCACACATTTCAAACTTGCTGAATCTAAAAGCTTTCGATTTCTTCTCTCAGAATTTTGCAAGGGGAGGTGAGGGAAGCACAAGACTTCTGAAAGGACCATATGGCCTAGTCACATGTGCACCTCAGGCACACTGGACCTTCCCAGTGTTGCAGAGTCCGGGTCAGCAGCTTGTGGTGTGCGTAAAGAATTGTAGCACGCCTCTTATGCTTAACTAGCTGGTTCACTTTTAGTGGGTTAGAGGGGTTTGGCCACTTGCTTGTCATTACCATTTTGTATCATTGGTAAGTGGCATGTATTATTTTGGTAGGTTTGAAGCAATGAAACATTTTATTTGAAGCTGGATTTAATTAACTCTATAAAATTGACCAGTAAGTCTTGAAGAGGGATTCCTTTTAAACATTATTTTTTGTATCATAAGAGTAATAAATGCATAGAGTAAAGAAAATTCAAAGGAAAAAAGTCTGCCTTCTAATCCCTACTCCTACCTTCTGTAGATAAGGACTATTAACAGTTTCTGGTGTAAACTTCCAGAACTTTCCTGTGCATATTAAGTCCTGTCTATATGAAAATATATACCTGATTTATCCTTTAAAAAATTAGAAACAAGTTCTGTTATAATACTGTTCTATAACCTGCTTTTTTGACTTAATATTTTATAGACATTTTTCTGTGCCAGCACATAGAGCTATACTTCATTCTTTTTAATAATATTTAGGATGTTCTCATTTTTTTGCTACCTCTAACAGTGTTGCAGTGAAAATCCTTGTATATACACACATCTTTGCATATTTCCTATCTATTGGCTAAATTCCAAGGGATAGAATTACTGGGTCAAAAGGTAATGTCAAATTATTCTTCAAATTTGTATGTTAATTTAAATACCAAGCATTTATGAAAAGTACCTATTTCCCAGATTTTCAAGGAGTATTGGAGGACAATGAAATTAGGCTTGAATGAAGCTTCTAGATGCACTTCACATGTGTACATCATAATATGTACCGATGTACTAGACCTACTCTCTGGCTTGCATGTAGTTTTTTCTTATGATTGACCTAAAGTGAAAGAAAATTGACCACCTTGGCAAAAGAGATTAGGGCAGTCCTGGAGAGGAAATGCCATCTTTTGGGAATTGGTTTAGAATTGGTCACAAAAATCAAATAAAATACTTTATCATATGATTTTATATTTGTAAATTTTAAGAAGCTATAAATACAAGCATTTATTTCCCTTTAGGCTTGAGCAAAGAATTTTCCTTTTATTCCTCGCAAATTAGGTTTTTCTTAAATCTCATGTCTCAGCCCCTAACTTCATCACAGCAATGTCCTCTGCACACCTGGTCCAGACTCAAGAAATGTGCCATCCAGTACTCAGAGTGATGGCATGCTTAGAATGGCTTTTTGTTAGGCAGCGAGACTTTTTTTTTTTTTTTAAAGATTTTATTTATTTATTTGTCAGAGAGAGAGAGCGCGAGAGTGAGAGTGAGCACAGGCAGACAGAGTGGCAGGCAGAGTCAGAGGGAGAAGCAGGCTCCCCGCTGAGCAAGGAGCCTGATGCAGGACTCAATCCCAGCACGCTGGGATCATGACCTGAGCCGAAGGCAGCTGCTTAACCAACTGAGCCACCCAGGCGTCCCGGCAACAAGACTTTTAACGTTTTAAAAGTACATTATCTTAACCAGATGGCATAAAAAGAGTAGACTGTGGGTCATATGTTTGTTTTACTTTTATTGCCTGGTCTTTTAATATTTAATATTTTGTTTTCCTGATAATTTTAACCAACAGCGATATAATATATTCCACAGATTTCAATGGGACAGATGTTACAAGATTTTGGAAAATTTCTTGGGATGTTCCTTCTTGTTTTGTTTTCTTTCACAATTGGACTGACACAACTGTATGATAAAGGCTATACCCCAAAAGAACAGAAGGACTGTGTAGGCATCTTCTGTGAGCAGCAAAGCAATGATACCTTCCATTCGTGAGTGTCTTTTAAAATTTTTCGTAAATGTATTTCTCTCTATTGTATTATAAATGAATTAATACCTAGAGAATTAGAACTTCACATTTTCTTTAAGACATTCTTTTTTAATAAGAAATACTTATTTTTCATGAATCATTTGATAGTTATATTTATATAAATAGAATCTTAAGTAATTAGTAGGCCTAAGATATTACACTGTTTCCCCCACTGTAATCTTTTAACAGAGGAACTCGTGGCATTTTGCACACTGTTAGCATTTGGGGCAGGACAGTTTTCTGTCGGTCCTGTATATTGCAAGACATTCAACATCTCTGCCCTTCTTATAGTGAATGTCAGTAATAACTGTCCATCATTGTTACAGCCAAAACAATCTCTTGCATTTTCAGCACTTAGTAGGAGGTCACTAGAATTGAGAATCATTAGAGCTTCATCAATTTTTTTCCTCTGATTTGCTGTATCATAAGAAATTGAACAATCAGCTGTGAGGCAGAGAAAATACCTCCCCTCATTTTAAAATAACATAATGGAGAAAGGGTGTGGAATTACTCATTTGTTGTGTTTCTGTTACTTACCAACTATTCTTTATTCACATGCATCTTATATAAGGAGTAAGATTAAATGACTAATAACTATTTGTTTAACACTTTCTGTGTAACAGACACTGTTCGAAGTGCTGAGTGAATGAAGTCCTAGTAAACAAAACTACCTCATGGAGCTTATATTATATCATAGTTAGATGATATAGGCAATAAAAAGAGAAAAAAAAGGTATAATATATTATGCAATAAAAGGGGCTAAAGAGACAAAGCTTTGGCCAGGGAGGATATATGTGTGAGAGGTTGCAATTTTAGATGGGAGACTGGGGAATGGCCCAAGAGATGACATTCAAGTAAAGATACGAAGAATCAAGACCTGAAGGAGATGGCTGGAGGAAGACCATTAGTAGATAGAGGAAATGGCAAAGGCAAATGCCCTGAGATGGGAGTGTGGCTGGCAAGTTCAGGGAAAAGCCAGAAGGCCAGTGTGGATGGATCTAGGGAAGCTGAGGGAAAGTTGTAGGAGATGTAGGACTTTGTTGATACTTGTAAGGACTCTGGGCTAATGAGATCGAGAGCCATTTGAAGTTTTTGAGCAGAAGAGTGGCAACACTGAATTAGGCATTACCAATATCTTAGTGGCTGCTTTGTTGAGAATAGACAAAAAAGCAGTAAGAGGTCAAGCAAAAATAATCTATCCTCCTTTTGAGTCTATTTCTTTGTTTAAGGTAAGACATATCTGTACTGTTCAACCTCATTCATTTTATAAAGTATTATTCTTAGATTATCAGTGTTCTATGGAATGTTGGTATAAACGAATTCTTCATTTTTGCTAATTAATTTCTTTAATTTCCTTTTAAACAGAAATGTAATTGTCTTTACAGGTTCATTGGCACTTGCTTTGCTTTGTTCTGGTATATTTTCTCTTTAGCACACGTGGCAATCTTTGTCACAAGATTTAGTTATGGAGAGGAATTGCAGTCCTTTGTTGGAGCAGTTATTGTTGGGACATACAATGTTGTGGTTGTGATTGTGCTCACCAAGCTGCTGGTGGCAATGCTTCATAAGAGCTTCCAGCTGATAGCAGTAAGTGTCCATTCTTCTAGAAACTTTATATTCTTTCAGGTCATACCAAATGTATGCAATAGATAAGGCAACCAAAGATGATAAGAATTAAGAATTAGTACTATTTTTAAATTAAATATAGATTTTTAAAATGTAAGTAATGTATATTAACTGCAAATCTTTAACCAAATTTTTACATACAAGGTATGCAAACATCTGGACAGTTTAAAATGATCTCTTTCTCTCTCTGCTCCCCCATTCCCCTCCCTTGCTCCTTCTGCCCTCCCCTCCCCGTGTGTGTGTGTGTGTGTGCGTGTTCATGTTCTGTATTGCTTTTTCATTTTCCTCTTACAGAATCATGAGGACAAGGAATGGAAGTTTGCTCGAGCAAAGTTATGGCTTAGCTACTTTGATGACAAATGTACATTACCCCCACCTTTCAACATCATTCCTTCACCAAAGACTATTTGCTATATGATTAGTAGCCTCAGTAAGTGGATTTGCTCTCATACATCAAAAGGCAAGGTTAAACGTCAGAACAGTTTAAAGGTAAGAAATTAAAATTGCAACTTGGAAGTTTTAACAGCTCCTAATATCATATGTTTACTAAAATGTAAATACTTTTTTTCACTCATATATCCCTAATGCATGGCATATGCATGGCATATTATCCTACGTAAAGTAAGGATTCAATATGTGAGAGAGAGAGAGCTATACTTTTTTTTTCATGAAGTCTTATCTCACACTTTTAAAATATGGAAAATATTTAGAATACCTATTCTGTCAGCATAGATAAAGATTGACTACTAGAGCCATCTCATATTTTTCCAGTTCTTCTTGAAAGTTACTCATTACATAAATAATTCAATACATGTTGCTATAAACCAGAGATTGGCAAACCTTTCCTGTAAAGGGCCAGATAATAAATATTTTGGACTTTGCAGACTGAGACAAAATCAAAGATGTTCTGTGAATATAACAAGTAATATAACAACAAAGAACACAAACATCCATAAAATTTTTATTGGTGAAATTGACAATTTAATATTAATTGAGTAATAACTTTTTGTAATACAGATCTAATATAAAGAATGGAATTCCACTTTGGGGAATAAATAACATTTTGTTTAATTGGGGTTCAAAATTAGTGTTCCCTATCATCAAATTAATTACAAATATTCATCTGTAAAAACCATTCTTAGCTTATACAGACCATAAAAAATAGTAAGTGGGCCATGTTCGGCCTGTGAGTTGTGGTTTGTTAATTCTTCCTATAAACCGAAGATTCCTAAGACTATTGTTAAATCAAGTAAAGCATCCAGATGAATGAATAAAACAAATGTTCAGGCTGTATTTGTTTTAAGTAAGTGTTGGATATTACTTTGTAACACTTAAAGCCAAAAATACAGTCTAATAAAGCATGTGTTTGTGAATATTTTTTTAAAAACCCACCTCATAAAAACAAACAAACAAAAACCTCATTTAGGGATGCCTGGGTGGCTCAGTCGGTTAAACATCTGTCTTCGGCTCAGGTCGTAATCCCAGGGTTCTGGGACTGAGTCCTGCATCGGGGGTCCCTGCTCGGCAGGGTGTCTGCTTCTCCCTCTGCCTGCCGCTCCCCCTCCATGTGCTCACTCTCTCTCTGTCAAATAAATAAATAAAATCTTTAAAAAAAACCCCACCTCATTTAAATATGGTTTATGTCCATTGTTCGTACCATGCACTTGTTTGTTTTGAAGGAATGGAGAAATCTGAAACAAAAGAGGGATGAGAACTACCAAAAAGTGATGTGCTGCTTGGTGCATCGTTACCTGACGTCCATGAGGCAGAAGATGCAAAGTACAGATCAGGCAACTGTGGAAAATCTAAATGAACTACGCCAAGATCTGTCAAAATTCCGAAATGAAATAAGGGATTTACTTGGCTTTCGGACTTCTAAATATGCTATGTTTTATCCAAGAAATTAACCATTTTCTAAACCACGGAGAGAATAATTTTCAGTAAGAAATCTGAAAGACTGCATTTGCATAATTTGCGATTAAATCAATAAGATATCTATTGAAATTAAAATGAAGAATTATGTAAAAGCCATTCTTTAAAATATTTATAGCAAAATATATTATGTAAAATATGTATATAGAATTAGTTTTTTAAAATCCTGTTAGTAGCTTTTTCCTGGAGCAAAACAGATTAAGTAGATAGGTTTTGTTAGCATGCTGCTTGGTTTTCTTACTTGAACAGTGCTTTAAATTTTTTTCTTCTTATGTTTAAGAAGGGCAGTTATAATTGTACACATTGCCAGAGGTTTTGTAAAATGAAGATCAGCAGATGTGGGCTGATCTCAATCCATAGGACACACCTGAAATGTAGTAAGTCATGGTTTTAAAAATCTCTGTTTTAGGAGTTCACATGCAGTTCAGTATTTATTGTTCAGTTCACATGCAGTTCAGTATTTATTGTTTAGTTTTATCTAAAATAATGGTCTATTTTTTTTATTTTGTTATAATCTTACATAACAAGGAAAAGCCCCTAATGGATGTTTGAATCTATTTATGTCTCTATAAATTTAAATTCACTTCAGTTTTGTTATTATAATATATTTACTTTTACATGGTTGTAATCACTTTGTATTTTTTATTTTGTTTTTTTCACTTAATAGTTTTTTATATGTACATTTCCATGTATTGTTATAGTCCACATATTTAAAGTTTTATAGGATTATATATAGTTTTTGAAAAATATAGTTAGTAGACTTTTCATTTTATAGCAATCAAGCATTTGAGTATGTTTATAGGTTTGCACAGGCACTTCACTAAGGTTAGGTATTTGGTGGCTTTTAATTTTTCTTTATCATAATAGTGCTATAATTTTTTTCAGGTTGGAGTGACTGTTAATAATTATAAAGCTAACCCAAAATAAGGATTTAGAAGATGCTTTACCTTATGTGGTCACAGCCTGTTTTGTTTTGGTAAACACTGGAAGATCCTGTAAGGCAAGAATTTATTTCATATTTGGACCAAGGTTCTTGAACTAATCTCCCAAAGTATTTTCCACAGAATTTAACATAGCTTCTATAAAAGTGACTTCTTGCTTATTTACGGATCATTCTTGCTGCTTAAGATGAAAAGCCTTGATTTTTTAAAAATTGGAAAATAAAATATGTGTTTAAATTTTTTTCCTGTGTTCATGTAAGGGATGTAATTTAAAAAGTTTCACAGGTTTTTGCTTTTCTTTTCTTGCAGTATTTCCAGTTAAGAGGTTATTAGGTATATGCTTATCTTCTTAACTGAATTTCAGATGGTCTTAAGGCCACAGGGTGCAGGTAACCCTTGGTCTGTGAGCACCACTGATCCAGGGATCATTGGCTAGATATATTAGTATTGTGCTTCATTTTGCTTTTTACTCTTTATTTTTTAATTTCCAAATTGTAAGTGTTCCCTCTTTGGGGAAAATTCTTATAAAATGTTTATTGTAAAGTTATATATTTTGTCTACAATGGGATTATGCACTTCCCAATTGGGATTTTACATCAGGATTTTTAGTCATTCTAAAAAATACCTAATTATTAAATCAAAATATTTATAGAGTGCCTACTGTATGCATGAGTTACTTATGAGGTATATTTTGAATGACAGCATATTGTAAGAAAAAAGGTAAATAAAACTTGATATTACATTATATGTTGGCAGAGTTTGTTTATTGTATTATCATGTACTTTTATACTTTTCTATTGAACTATAATTCACCTAGCATAAAATTTACTCTTTTAAAGTGTACAATTCAGTGTTTTTGTTTTTTATAAATCATGGTAAGGGTCTCAAACATAAAACATCAACATCAGACCCCTTTGTTCTCCTTTTCACCTCCAATGGCAGTCGTATTGAACTCTTTTAGCTATTTCTTATATTTATAAATACAATGTTTTGAAGTAGTATGTTCACACAAAGACCTGTATGTGACCATTTTTAGCAGCTTTATGGATTCATGATCCCAAACTGGATCACTGAGAACAACCGAATGTCCATCAACTGGTGAATGGATAAACAAACTGTACATCCATACAGTGGGTATTTTATTTACTCAGTAATGCAAAATTGTGTCGGACTTCAGTCAGAGAAGCAGAACTACTGGATATTTGCGGGCATCCCTGTATGTTTGTATAGCGATTTGTGTACAGGGACTTGCTGTTACACAGCTGGGTTCTTTAAGCAGTCTCCGTGAGGCTGTTGTTTCTGCACCTATGAGCCTGGAGTTCACAGGATAGGCAGTTAGAAAGGGACAGTAGGTGGAAAGTGGAAGACGGAAAGACAAAGCTGGAACCCATGAGGACTGACTGACACCCATGTCACTTCTCACTGTCTCCAGTTTTGATAATGTGAGTATCCTGGGAGAAAAGTTGCCTTTTGCCAGGTTGCTGGACATATACTTGACCCAGGAGGCAAAGAAGCTGAAGGAAGATGCAAGGAAGGGTAGAACCATGTAGGCCCAACTTCCTCCCTGCCCTGAAGGGTGAGCCAGCAGGTAAGTCATACCATGTGGGAACTACAAATGCCTACATAAAAAATAAGATGGCTGCTGCTTCACTTCTGCCCTCCAAATTTCACACGAGAATGGGTCTTGTGGCTCACCCTATCTGGTAGTATACACAGAAGAAAATTTTGGGAAACATAAAACAGCCTACCCAGGTTAGCACAGGAACAGACTACCCACCTACCCTATAACATAGGTGAGTCTTAAAAGGATAATGCTAAGTGAGGAAGCTCATCACATAAGGCTACATACTGTGTGATTCCATTTACAATGACATTCTAGAAAAGATAGAACTATGGAAACTGAAATTAAGTTATTGGTTACTAAGATCTGGTGGAAGGAGAAGATGGATTGTACAATTAATCAAACTATATACTCAAAAAGGGTGAATTTTAATGAATGGAGATTATGCTTCATTAACCTGACAAAAATACCTAAGGCTACAACTTACTAAAATAAGAAAATAACAGTAGATTCTTATAATTGATTATCACTCCAAAAGAAAACAATGCTTGAATATGCACGTTAGTAATCCATCATTAACACGACACAGTGGGGTGAAGTATGGTAATAAATACCCAAGGTAAACTATTTTGCACTATTTATTTCAAAATAATTTTGGCTGTTTTAGCTTCTTTCTTCTTCATATAAATTTTGGAACATGCCTATCAATTTCTACAAAAAGGCTTAGTTGGGATTTTTATTGGAATTACACTGACACTGAAATTTTTGTATTCCTCAGAAAATACATTTATAAAATCCAGATAGACTGAGGTTATAGGCAGGCCCAGAGGAGTAAACCAGTTGGGTCTAATTCAGAATCACACTAAGAAAATATTAATGGTAACAGGGATATGGCTGCCCTGAATTTCTCATTTGTAAGCTAGTTTATTAGCTTTCTGGCATCACTGTCCTGTTTATAAACATGTATTTCTTAAAGATATAATTAGAAAAATTTCCAATTACAGCATTTCTCTTCATTTGATAATTTCACATTGTTTTCTTTTCCTGCCCCCCTTGTCCCCATTTTGAAATAAATACTTTTGATATGCCATTCAAAATTAGGAAAAATTTTATGTGCTACCTACATGCTTTAAAAATAACCATATTTAAGAGACATGACTTCTGATGTAAATTAGATTACAGTAATATAAGAAGCAAAACATCAGGTTTATGTAGGAGGTAAATGTATGTTTAAAAAAAGAACTGTTTCAGCCAGAGAAATGACAGGTAAGCTCCATTTCCTTCATTCTGCAGTCTAGAGTTTCCTCTGTATGTGTGTCTGTTTCTTGGTCTCTCTCTTCTTTAGAAAGGTTATTTAACCCATTCTTCAATTTTAGACAAATTGTTCCTATTGAAAGATATTAAAAATTATCAGGTGCTATTTGAAAAGAATTTTGAGGAGGAAAATACTAGCTGCCTCAGTAACTCATCCAGAAACTTAATTAATTTTGTAAGGTTATTTTAATATTTTAAATTTCAGATATTTAAAAACTCATCCCCCCCATTTAATATTTCATTGGAAATAGCAAACAGTCACTGTATTTTTTATAATGATTATTTTAATGCAGAGGCTTTCTTTTTTTTTTAAGTTATAAAACTAGGCAGAAATATTTCTCTGTGTTGATGGTGAATGGCACAAATTTGCTGAATGAAAATTTAGCATTATCTACTAGGACTGACGTCCATTCAGACACTTATCTAACAGTTTTATGCTTTAGAAACTATTTCATCATTTGGATTGGAAGAAAACTTAGATCACCTACTTAAACCTTCTAATTTTATAGGTAAGAAAATCACATTTTAAGTAATTTTTCCAAGATTGAATTATGTCTGACTTGAGAGCCCAAACCCGATTTATTGTATCAATTAAGATATATTCCTAGAGCTTTGCATTTTTGAATTAATTTTTCATGGTAGGTTCATCTTGGTCAGAGACCAGAACTTAAGATGCCTAGTCCCTGCCTCTCCAAATGAATAGTTTATTCAAGACTTAATTTATTACCAAGGACAGAAACAGAGACCAGTGAGATGAGCAAGAATAAGAGGGTAAGAGAGGTGGTGGGGTAGTAAACATAAACAGAAAACCAGGAGTCAGTCTCAAAAAAATAACAAGCCAGACCATGGAGATTGGACCAAGGGCTCAGAATGGAGACACTGGTTGATTTTATTTCTGTGCCACTTTATAACCTGATCAATTTGGTTATTCAAGGATCTAGAAACAATTTAAGACCTATATGGGATCTCAGAAAGGATCTAATTTGCCTTTCTCATTTTACAGAAAAGGAAACTAAAGTTCTCCCACAGCTACCCTGTGAAGGAGAATCCAAGTCTTTGTCTGCCTCATCCAGGAAGATTTTAATTACATTATATCACTGTTGTTTTTAATTTCCTGTTTGTAAGGTAAAGCAGCTAGCTGTATGAAATCTTTAAGTTTGTAAGTTTTCTTAATAGATTTCTGTACTCAAAAGCTCTATCTCACAGTTTAAATGTAACCTAATCTTAGTATCAGAAGGCCATGGGAATATCCTTCCAGCAAAAGATAACACTTCAAATTTATAATCAAAGTTTAGCCTTTTTTTTTTTTTAAGATTTTATTTATTTATTTGACAGAGATCACAAGTAGGCAGAGAGGCAGGCAGAGAGACAGAGAGGAGGAAGCAGGCTCCCCGCTGAGCAGAGAGCCCGATGCGGGGCTCGATCCCAGGACCCCGGGATCATGACCTGAGCTGAAGGCAGAGGCCCAACCCAAGGTGCCCCAAAGTTTAGCCTTTTTAAACCTGATTGTTGACTTTGTGTTTTAGAGGAAGAAGCAAATTATAAAAACAAATAGAAGTCTAGTTTTGTTTTTTTTTTTTAAGATTTTATTTATTTATTTGACAGAGATCACAAGTAGTCAGAGAGGCAGGCAGAGAGGGGGAAGCAGGCTCCCCGCAGAGCAGAGAGCCCGATGCGGGGCTCCATCCCAGGACCCTGAGATCATGACCTGAGCCGAAGGCGAAGGCTTTAACCCACTGAGCCACCCAGGCACCCCAGAAGTCAAGTTTTTAAAATGTTTTTAATTGAAGACTAGCTGACACACAATGTTACATTAGTTTCTGGTGTACATAAAACACAGTGAAGTGATTCAACACGTTTATGCATTATGCTGTGCTCCCCCCCAAGTGTAGCTACCATCTACCCATACAACATTCTTACTGTACCATTGATTATATTCCCTATGCTGTATCTTTCATCCCCATGACTTAAAAGTTAGGATTTTAAATAACAACTTCAAAATTATCCAGAACAAATTTCTATGTACGTCCCAGAGCTACTTGTCTGAATACCCAAGTATACTCCCATACTTGTATATCCTCAGGCCCCATGTTAAAAAGAGGATGTTAGTGTACAAATCATGGCCCTCACATATTTAATTCCAGATGCTTAATTATAAAAGATTTTTTAAAAAATCAATATTTTTATCCTTGGGCTAGGGTTTACATATACATCTAAGGAACAAACTTGTAAATCTCTATTAATTCTAACCACTTACCTGCAGGGTCTTTTTGGCTTTTCTATTTGAATTAGCATATACTCTTTGCATTAGAAGAGTCATTCTTCCTGTCCAATATTATTCATTTCTTTTCCTTTCCTTACTACATTAACTAGACCCACCAGTGCAATTTTGAATAAAAATGTTGACTTTAGGCATTTTTGTCTTATTGCTGACATTAAAATGCTTTCAATATGTCACCATTTGCTGCAGGGATATTTTGTCAGCTTAAGGAAGCTCTCTTCTATTTTTAGTTTCCTCAAGGTTTATTTTGTCATGAATTAATGTTGGAGTATATCAAATGCTTCCCTGCATTAAGATCAAATGATTTCTCCCCTTACATGTATTGCAAACAGGGCTTAACAGAAACTTTCCCAGTTTTGTTGCGTTGACGACCTTTATTTGACTCCGGCTTAATTTACCAGTAATCTGATACTACATAGGTTGACTGTGTGGCTGGGCAAAGTTGCTTCTGGTATCAGTGAACGCAGATTGGTAAATTGCACTGGACTGGGAAGAGCTGTAAGTGAGCTCTAAATACCTGATGGGGCAGCCACACCTTTGGGTTTTCCTGTACGTGTAGCTCTTACAATGAGGCGTGTCATCTAGGAGGAGCCTGAAAGCTACTCTGCCTATGGAGTTAATACAAGAGATCCTGGTTTCCCAGGAGATGGGAACTTCAAGTTGGAGTGTCTGCACCCACCTGATGTGAATCGAGGCCCCTGGCATCCGAGACATTATCTAGGAAGGCCAAAGAAAACAGCTCATGGGTGGCTGTGTGAACTGCTCCCGGTCTGGCCCTATCCTGTTGAGCTCTGGTCCCTGTGCTATAGCTCTGGGGGTGTTGGTAGTGAGAGAGGCTTGTGGTACTCATGAGTGTCAATGTTTAGTTGTGCCTCAAACTGCCTAGCTGGCATTGCAGATCTAGGGAAGCAGTGTAGTGTGAACATCGATTTCCTGATGTAAAATCAATCACACGTTCCTGGGATAAATCCAACTTGATCATGACCTATTTTGTTTGTTGGATTTTTGTCTGATAATATGTTTTTGTACCTATGTTTGTAAGTGAAATCAGACTGGATCCTATGCTGAAGTCTTGGCATTAAGATTATGCTGAGCTCATAAAAAGGATCGCTGAATGTTACTTCCTTATTTATACTCTGGAATTGTATGTGTTAGATTGGCAGTATTTGTCTCTTAGATATTTCATAGTCCTTCTGAGTCAAACTATCCAGACCTGGAACTTAATTTGAAGAGAGTTTTAATTACTGTTTGAATTTCTTTAATGGTTAGAGGACTGCTTAGGTATTCTGTTTCTACTTGAGTTTGAGTTGGTAGGTACAGTTTAGCAGTTTGTTCACTTCATCTAAATTTTCAAATCTATTTACGTTCTCTGCTAGTTTTTAGTTTCAAACTCTTTTATAGTTACCCTAGATATTTTAATGTAAAGACTTAAGTTATCAAAGTTCTAAATTAATATTTTTATCTTTCTCTTTCCAATTAAAAGGGCTTCAGAACACTTAGGGCAAGCTCCCTCCTCCCCCACCTTCTTTAAATGTTTGTTTTCTACTTGAATTTACTTTTTTTTTTTTTTTTGAAAATTTGTTTTCACTTATATAAATATACCCATGAATTCAAGCCAAAGGAGTTTCTGCTTGATATTACTTAACTCATATTAGAATTACTGATCAGGGGGTGCCTGGGTGGATCAGTGGGCTAAAGCCTCTGCCTTCGGCTCAGGTCATGATCCCAGGGTCCTGGGATCGAGCCCCACATCGGGGGCTCTGCTCAGCAGGGAGCCTGCTTCCTCCTCTCTCTCTGCCTGCTTCTCTGTGATCTCCGTCTGTCAAATAAATTAAAAACAAAAAAGAATTACTAATCAGTAGCTGTTTTTTAATTAATTAATTAATTAATTAATTTTAAGATCTATTTATTTATTTGAGAGACAGCTCCAGCAAGTGTAGGGAGGGGCCCAGGGAGAGGGAGAGAGCATCCCAAGCAGACTCTGCACTGAACATGCAGCCCTAGGCCAGGCTCGATCCCATGACTCCAAGATCATGACTGAGCCAAAATCAAGAGTCTGATGCTCAACCAACTGTGCCACCCAGGCGCCCCTTCAGCTATTTTATTATAAGGCTTTTCTTTAAAGAAGATTTTTGTTATTAGTTTAGTTCACTAAAGCAGTCAGAAGATCTAGTGGGAGTCTGGCAGCACTTTCCTACAGAAAGAGAAAAAAAGAAGGTAAATTTCTTCAGCTAAGGTTAACCTTTAACTAAGTAAGTTATATCGCAGAATTTAAGATTTGGGAACTTGGCAAGATTCATATATTTTTATTACAGAAATTGAATTCAAAAGATGAAAATTAAGCTAACAGGACCCCCCGAAACACATCAGAGAGTCTGGAAATGTTTTATGATATATTAGTATGGTCACCCATTTGTTTATCGTGTGCATTTGATTCCCCAAGTACAAGAACTAAAACCAAATACAAACCTTAGTCAGTTATACTTTAAAAAAATAGAATTTTAAAAAGAATTCCTAAAAGAGAAATAATTCCCAGAAATCATCTAGTCTAACTCCTTCAATTTAAAACTAAGGAAGCTCAAGTTCAGTCAAAACAAGTGACTTATTAAACAAGAAAGAAATTAAGAAAATTGGTTGTTGGACCAAAAAGAGCAGTGTTACTATTCAGTTTATCTCGGTTTTGAATAATTGAATAAAAAGACAAACCAGTGCCGTTCATTATTAACCACTAATTTCCTCAACAGTTGAAAGTCTTGTGTCAGAGATGTCAATGGTATAAATAGTTTGGATTACTCTTCCCGATTTTTACCTCAGTGTGACCCAGAAAGACCCAGTCTTTCTGCTGGAAGTGCAGGAGGCTGAGAATTGCAGGCATGCTGCCTGTAACACACCAATTAGAAGACAAGGAGAAGAAATTCTACAATTTTTTTTTTTTTTAAAGTAATCTCCACACCACACGGGGGCTCAAACTCACGTTTGAGAGATCAAGAGTCACATCTATGCTATCCTGGCTGAGCCAGCCAGATGCCCCCCAAATACTGAAATCTTCAGTCATCACTGCAAAGCCTCATAACATGTGTTCTTGAAAGGAACTCACTTGCCTCAAGGAGGTTAGAATCAATCAGGATTCCACAGTTATATCCTGGCTGTGCACAGCAGTGACGTCCAGAGGGTTGTGAGGGCCTTTCTAGAAGGTGGCACTGGCTAGGGAAGCCAGCCACTGACTCCTATAGTTTATCCACTTTCTCAGCTGGAGAATTTTCTGGTACCGATGGGGGCAGCCCAGTGGCAGGGGTTAGGAATAATTCCTGACACCACAACCAGCCCACATTCATTGCTTGCATGTGCTCGGTCAGCTGCCAAAAGAGAGGGATTCTTCCTTTTGAAATTTTTGTTTGTTTTTTGGGTTTTTTTGGCCTTTTGAATGCCTGGTCACTTCAACGGCTGGGAATTATTGTTTTTAACCCAAAAGAATATTTTCCTTATTTCTGAAACTTTGGTTTTACCATGAGAGACCTTGTGATCCAAGTCTCTGCTCCTCCCTGACGTGCTTTCCACCTTCCTCAGACGGGGATGGTGGGCCCTCTTCCACAGCTCCTGGCTGGCAGCCTCCTAAGGGCTGGTTGCCACAGCCGTGGCTGGTACAGCTGCAGATTAAACAGCTGTGTGCAGATGTGGGGAGTTCTTTCCCAGTTCTTCCATCACTGGGTAAAAAGGGAGTCTTCAAAGGCAACAGCAGAAAGCATCAATTAACAGGGGATGAACAGGACTGGGGCATCAGACTCCCCTCTAGTTTCAAGTCCTAAAAAACGACCAGTTGTGATTTGGGCTGCAAAGGAAACAAAGAGCAGATGCTGCAGAGCCAGGATCCGAGGGTTTTCCTCTGGGGCTGAGAGGGCTTCTTCGCGGGCGGGGAGGGCACTGGGTTGGAGTCAGGACTTCCAAGCTTGAGTGCCAGCTCTGTCCCTTAGGTGATGTGTGCTCTAGACAAGTCACTAACTAGACCTGAGCTTCAATTTCTGTCACAAACTGAAGGAGTTGAATTCGATCCTGGAGGGATACCACGTTCTCTGGTTCTACAGAGAATTCTAGTCTACTTACATTACTGGATCCATCTGGTCCCCGAAGTTCTTGGAATGCACACTCTTTCAGCAAAGTGTACATCCATGCCAAATTGGTATGTAAAAAGCAGGGAATATTCTTTTTACAGTGCCCCATTTTCTATAAAAACAAGTGTAATGGCTGTTATGTAATCATTTAAAAATATTTTATTAAGCAGTGACTTAAAAAATGCAAGAGAAGAATATAACCCTTCACAACAATTGCCTGAAGGTAAAACAAATATCACTATAAATATTGCACTTATAAAATCTCTTTTTTACATCTTCACACCACTCATTTCTAAAATACCCTTTTACAGAGACATATAAATAAACTGCTTCCACACTGTCAGTGCTTGATACATTCAGTTTCCTATCACTGCACCAAGTCTGCAAGTTTTCAATCACGTATCTGCTCCTCTCGGCGCAGGCAAAGAACTCCCACCAGTGATACCAGAGGTCTCATACCTACATCATGTGAAGAGTAAATCTTTCTGAATGCTCAATATTTAATATGACTTTTTTTTCCTACAGAGAAAAATATAGATCTTTCAAAGGCAATGACAGAATGCAGCTTAAATCGACACAGTTCATTATTAACATTGCTTGTTTTTCAAGGCATCCAGTAGCTTCTGATTCTTGGTCTTGAACATCATGATAAAGCTGTTTGGCATGATTTTGCCTCGCCCATCTTCACCCACTTGGCCCATAATAATGTAATTTAGACCTAGAAAAAAGAGAACATAAATTAATTTTTTTCTCCATGTGTATTGTTTTTTTTTTATTATTTTTAAAGATTTTATTAGAGGGGTGCCTGGGTGGCTCAGTCGTTAAGCATCTGCCTTTGGCTCAGGTCATGATCCCAGAGCCCTGCATTGGCTGTCTGCTCAGCGGGAAGCCTGCTTCTTCCTCTCCCACTCATCCTGCTTGTGTTCTCTTTCTTGCTATTTCTATGTCAAATAAATAAAATCTCTTAAAAAAAAAAAAGATTTTATTAGAGTGAGGAAGCACATGCAAGTGCAGGAGGAGGGGGAGAGGGAAAGGGAGAGTGAGAAAAAGACTCCCTGCTGAGCAGGGAGCCCCAACCTGGGGGTGGGGTGGGGGGGGACTTGATCCCAGGAGCCACAGGCAGATGCTTAACTGACGGAGTCACCCAGGTGCCCTCTATGTGTATTGTTTTGATAAAATTTAGACTATAACCTACCTCTAGATAAATGATCTGTAAATGATAAAATTACACGTTTAGTCTATTCAGGATAAAATCAGGTTTAAGCCTCTCATCAGAAAAAAATCTAAATTCAACTAAGTTACATGTTCCAGCTCTACCAACACTGGGAAGGTGGGTGGAATGGTGAGATCCTGTCGTGTCCTGCTCTGTGGTGCTGTGGGTCTGGGGCATTTACTGAGTGTCTGCTGTGCACGACCCGTGTTTGTGTAGATTGTCCTTCCTTGAGGGGCTGCGGTGCTCCCCGACACGTCATCCTCAGATGGCCTCTCATCCTCTCAGAACACTTCTGGATTCCCAGGCCTTTGGCAACTAATGGGCCGTCGTCTTCTGCTCCTGTGGTCAACTTGAACTCTTCTCAACACCTTGAGCATTTATACTACGTTAGTTCCTTGAGGACATGGTTGTATCATCTATTTCTTTGCATTCTCACAGTTTCTTACAACAAATAGTTACCAAAAAGTACTTCTATCAGATAGACACTTTTTTGTATCACAGTGTGTCTAAGTTAGGCCTCTGTCTTCTGAGTGTCAGCTCCGAATTTCCTGCTCCTTGCTGGATATTTTCGTCTAAACTCTATTGGAACTTTAAGTGCAAAAACAAACTCTCTTTCCCCCGAACTGCTCCTTCTGTGTTTGCTCCTTGTTGATCCAGCTTCAGATGCTTCTTGGACTCTTTCATCACTTCTACTATCTCATCTTCTGCCACAAGTTATAAGAACTGGGACCAGAGCCCTATTCTGCCTGACTCCAAAGCCTTCCTTCTACACCAGAAGTGGCCAACAGATGAAGCTTGATTTTAGTTCCCTTGCCCAGCCATGGCGTGGAAATATCTGTGACTTGCTCAGACTTTCTCTCGTTCCCTTCTCTATCTCTGAGCTCCCCTCCAAGAAAGACTAAAGTTTTCCTCCTTACCTCTCCTGAGGAGAGGGCACTGCTTGCAGACCACAGTGATCTTGGCACTCATGTTCTTGCCAGCCTGCTGAATTGCCAGATTTCCCTCCTTATAGATGTTGATGATCGAGACAGTAGCATGCAAGCTTCCACCTCGGGTGACAGTTGTGATCACGGTGCCAGCCAATACTGCCAAAGAAAACATTTGGAAATAATATGACTGTGGAGGTAAATGTAGGCAGAACTGAAAATCATTGTACATTCTTCTAAGTTTCTGATAGGAAATGTTTTAATGTTCAAGAGAAGGCCCTAATAGAACTATCGGATTTGAGTCTGTGCATTTGTCCTTAAAATTCAGGTTGGGAAAAAAGAGGCCATGAAGCCATAATGTTACCCAGGTCACCTGTGACAGAAACTGAAATGTCTCCTGCCCTGCAAACTACTGCTGAGATGGGGACTCCTGACGATGTTTTATCCAACATGGGGACCATTTACCAGGTAAGGCAGAGGCTTATGAGCCTCTACCTCTTAATTCTCAATAAGATCTTGAGTCTTTAGACCCAATACTATACGGAGGTTGCATGGCAGGGGTTCAAGCCATTAAGACATGAGCCTTCCTATTGGTATGGTTGAGTGCCTACCTCTCTGTGTCTTTCCCCCTTACTCTTTAGCTGTCCTCTCTCCTTCAACTTCAGTTCATCCCATGGGTCCCCATCTCTAATTATCGGTAAATAACTGTGTTTTTCTGGGTCTTTCTTATCTACCTTGTATATCTCATTTAATAAAGTATAGAACTGAATAAAACAATATTTTCTTGCTTAAAAAAAAAACCACAACAACCAAAAAACCCTAGCAAAACTCAGTTGCTTTTCATTATGTAATTTCTCTTTCTTCCATTGTGATGTAAGAGGAAAGTCTCACTTTGGAGCCACAAGGAAAGATGCTATGTTTCTCAAAGGCATGCTTTTGGCATTTTGTGGGTGACCATTCCATGTGGTGCAGGACTTGGGTTGGGAGACTGTTTTAGGAGCCCTGTCCCTGTTACCAGTGCAGGCGGAGAACCAGTGGGCTGCTGGGGATAGTATTTGGTCATTTTGCCAGGTACGAGAGTTAACAGTGGAATAAATCAAGTTTTGGACTTGGCTGACATGACCCTTGAGGTTAAGGTGAGAAGTCACTTCTTAGGTAGCAGGCAAAATTCATAAAATCAGAATGTTTATCATGCCCTACTTTGATTCCTGGTGATGTGTGCACTGCAAAATGTTAGTCGATAGCCAAGGGAACTCGGGGGGCTCCAAAGGACATGGAGGGGATTGCCTCAAGCACCTCCCACAGAAGACTAACCTGGATGTGATAGCAATTTGCTTTCATTTTTATGCCTGTTATTTGAATTTCGGCACGGAAACTCCAGTAAGATTTAGGGCTCAGTGGGTTCTTCAGTGCCTTCACGACTTTGCTACGACATAGTTCGTCTGCACTTCAGATAGGAAAAGGCAAGCAAAGCCTTTTCCGGGAGACTGTTCATTCTGGGTAACATACTTAGGTTTTAGCAACTTTCTTTTCCTGACAAGAATTTTCTTCAACATCCCTTTTTAAAAAAAACCCACATAATTAAATTTGGTATCTCTTGCTTTTCAGTGATTTTTTACAGGAAGTGCCATTTTTTTAAACTGGAGAGAGCTCTTAGAAATTCTAAGTCATTAGGTAGTATATCTCCTTAGGTTCCAATTTACAAGTCATTTCCAAAGAGATTTCAGGTTCCCAAGTTTTAATTTAGTACTTTGGAAGGACATGACAGAAGAAATACTTGAATTTCTTCTGAGAAAGGCCAGCTTGGATATGTTTCTAATTTACTTAGGTGGAATTACAGATGTGTGAAAAAGTGCTTAGAACATGAAAAGTATGTGTGAAAAACTGTGCAGAGTTTTTCAGGATCACCGAGCCACCGAGAACACACAGGGTAGTGGTATCATACTCCAGAGTCAAATTATTAAGTTGATGTGGGAAAAGCACATTTTCTTTATACGTATTATTTTCAGTTGTGAAATCCAACACTTTGAACAGCACTACTCAACATACCTCAGGGTATAGGAAAATATTTTCTTGGGTAAATGAAGAGTGTAACTGACACTTCACCATCACATTCATGGCAGTTCCTTTGAGATTAAGCATGCAGTCTCAACTTTCTGATTAAAGAGAAAAGCCTGGGTTTTATTTCTTACCAAAGTTACTTGAACAATAATTGCTCTCCAGAGTCCCCGTCCGTCTACACTTTTGTTGACACAGGGCCACGGTGGGTTTTAAACCTAAATTCAAAGCAGACAGACATAAGATTCAGGAAAATGAATTCAAGTATAATTGGTGTTTAGACCGAATCCACCTACTTAAAATTCCTATTTCCCTGAGCCACCAAGCTGTCATTGCAATGAAATAATTAGAAAACATTCAAAAGAAATTCTTTATGCTACTAACTACTGCTCTAATTTCCTCAGGGTAACTCAATGCTCTCTGCTGAATTTTAAACCCGAGATCAAAGATAACCCAAATTTAGCCCTATTCTCTTCTTCCTTTATATATAACGAACACTAACCAAAAATAGATGCAGTCTCCATGCGCCCAGCTTAGAAAAACCCAGTACATCAAATATGAACTCAGAAAATACATGTTAATTCTTCACTTTACAAAAGGAATTGAGTGGTGTTCCCCTTGAGGATGGAGGGAGCTTTCTTGGTGCATTTAAAAATACCCAACTGTCCAAATGTGAGTAGTATGACTCTGTAGAAATACTGCTCATGTGCAAAGCGTGTTATGCCTGTAATGAGATGTAACTGGTCACTAAACATTTATTTTGAGCCCGTCATTGCCTATAAAGATCTTAAGAACTGGGAAGTTGACTAATTTAAAAATAAAATGAAATAGATAAACACAGTAGTTCTCCAGCAAAAGTGATTTTTGTTCTCGGTGACATTTTGCCATGTCCGGAAATAGTTTTGGCTGTCACAACAGGGTCGCTACTGGCCTCTAGTGGGTAGATACCAAGGATTGCTGCTGGAGGTCCTACAAGAAACAGCCCCAACAGCAAAGCATCATCTGGCCTAAAATGTAAACACTGCCAAGGTTGAGAAACTGTGAGTTAACAAAATCAAAGTAGTTAATTCCCATTATCATCAACAAAAAAAGTTTCCAAAATATTTGCTAGTTACTCACTTACACGTGGCAAAATGCGAGGAAGAACTAAACAAAACAACTGTAACAGAATTGTTCTTTTTGGGCAAGAATTTGCAGTTGTAATATTGCCCTTCTAATATGTCCTGTGAACTCTTCTGTGAATTTATTATTTATTTAGTTTTAATTTGTACCTATACGTAACTCCAAAAAAGGACCTCAGGTGAATCACATTACTAAAATATGTACAATTTAATGTTAATGTACATATAATAGGATCTGTGTGTGTATAAATTTTTTAAGACAAAGAGCTCAGACAACATTAAGAGGGAACATTGTTCTAGAAGGTGGACACCTAGATTTACCTAATTGCGTCAAAAAGTAGTGGCATTAGTGGTTCTGTCTGATGAAAGAGCATCCTTTCTGTGGGCACTGGAAACTGCTCCTCTCAGCTTGAGAACATCAGTCTGCAAAATGGGCGCATGTCCCACCCTGCTCCTCCCCTCCCTTCAGTAGATCCCTGTGCTCTTGGCTTTAAGTCAATGTTAGAGCACCCTGACCCTGTAACCTCACTGTCTACTCTCTCCCTGCACTCCCTGGGTGCCATGTGGTCCCCAGCCTTCTTCTCCAGGTGCACCTGCAACCATCTCACTGCACGCCCCCTCCACGGTCCTCTTGCTCCCAGACGTTCCCTCTGCTCTGTGCCTGTCACTCAGTGCCAGGCTCACATGTCTTCCTGCTAGAGCTTCATCACCAAGCTCTCAAGCTTAGACATCCAAGCCGCCTCTCCTTCAAGCCCTTCTCTTTTCAGTCTCCTTTGCCATTATAGCTTCCTTTTTAAAAAGCTGGAACTTCTAGAGATTGAATTCCAGCCCTTTCTCCACCTTTCTCTCCTAACCTCTCCCTAGATGACCTCCTTCTGGACCAACCATGTATATACTGATGATCTGCAAATGTAAATCTCTTGCAGAAATCTCTTCTGGAGGAGACCATGGATCAAACTGGACTTGACTAGTCCACTTGAGTGTCACACACTCAGGCCCAACAAGCCACAGCTTAACTAATGACTAGAGCCTTAAACCCAATTCTCTGCTTCAGTGATGGTCTCATTATCCTTAGAACAGAGCAAGCCAGAGACTTGGGAAGGATTCTTGACACCCCCCTCATCTCCCTAATCCAATGAATCATCAATGAAAGACATGTCAGTATCTCCCAAGGCCCCTGCCTTGTACAACAGCCAGCATTTCTTGACTCTGTCTGTATTTCAGCACGGTTTCCCCGGATAACCACAAGAACCTGTGGCCTCTTGACCCTCCCATCCATTCACCTCACAGTGACCAGACTGACCTTCAAAAAGTGAGAATCTAATCCTGAACTTTGCCTAAATCCATCAACAGTTTCCCCCCAAATTAGGAAAAAATCCCAATACTCTAAAAAATCCCCACACTTAGGACAGAATCCTAGAAGCATAAGGAGAGAGGTGGTAGGACCTAGAGAGAGAAGCTAAGCACAATGTGTGAAGGGTCTTATACATGGCATGAAGAAACTTGACCCCTATACTGCCCATTCTGATAGCCACTCGCCACATGAAGCTTCTTACATTAATTAAATTAAAATTCAGTTCCTCTGCATCACTAGCCACATTTCAAGTGTCCAACAGTGGCTATGGTACTGGATAGCACAGGTGTAGACAATGAATTCCAGTGGAAGACATGATCTGCTTTGTGTGTGGAGGGGGGCATGCAGTGGGGAGGTAGGCGAGAAGACATGATCTAAGAGTGTGGCTACTAATGCTGTGGGCATGCTTGGGGAAGCCGTGGAGGAGCTGATTTAAAGCAGAAAATAGTGTGATCGAAATAAGTTGAGTTTGGTGTGTTTTAATTTAAATGTTTTAATTTAATTTAAATGTGTTTTAATTTAATTTAAATGTTTAGCAGTCACAAAACCCTAGGAGATAATCCTAAATTGATGTTTGCAATTTCAGAGAAGTTTAGGACTGAAGATAAAAATCTAGGGAGCCATTTAATTCACTGAAAGGAATAAGGACATCAGGGTCCCCTGAGACGAGCTGGAGAAATAGAAATAGGGCTTCAATGTAAGGCAGTACATCTCTAAGCCACAAGGTGGCACACTTGTGGAGTGTCAGAAGAAATAGCCCTTTGTAGAAGCGCCTGTACTCAGGTCCGGCCGACTTCGGGTGCAAGAAGAAAATGGTGGGCAATAAAGCTGGGCTCTTTTTCAACCTGTCTTGTATCCTAACTTTAGATCTTTCATTCCCACTTTTTTCTTTCTCCAGATTTAGATTTTGAGATCTGATGCCTGAAATCTCACTGCGTGGAGCTAACAGGCTGTAGGGACTCAACATGGGGCTCCACTCTTGCCTCTCCGTCTCTTAGATCATGTTCCAGAGTTTCCCAACTGGCTACTATAACCCATTGAGTATTTCTGTTTGATTAACCCCAATTTGAAAGAAAAAAATGTATTTTGCACAACACATTTCAGAGGGAAGCAAAATAAAACAAAAACCCAAAAAACTGGCAGATGGGAAAATAGACAGATATCAAGACCCTAGAACTTTAAAATACTACAATTCTATGTAATAAAGTCATAATTTTGTAAATACCAGAAAAGAAAAACTGGGCTTATAATGATCTATGCCTATGTCAGGGTTCCTAATATTTTTTAAGTGGTCATAATTTTCTTAGATGACATTTGAAAATTATTAGCTTCTAAACACTTATACCTTATACTTTTCTTCCATTAATGGAGTCATATTATTCCCTTAGATAAGTTTTCATCTTATTTAATTTAGTTTCAAGTATCTTTAATTTTTTTTCTATTTCAAAAGGCTTTTTCTTATACTCCTGAAGTGTGTGTGCAAACATCAAAACAAAAACTCACCTGTAGTTATAGGGAATGTGGTGGTAACAGGTGATGCTGTAGTTGTAGGCAGTTTCTTTGGCCTGAATTTGTAGTGACCAATAAACCCATCTGCAGTTAAACTTAAGTCTGATAAAAACTGAATGAGAAGTTCATTTCTCTCAGATACAATTGGCCTAAAAGAAGAAAAACATTAAAAATTTTTTTTAAAAAAAGTGGCACCTCTCTGAAATGTAGAATTCTGCTCTCCATTCATTTTTGACAATAGATTACGGTATGTGTAAACTTAAAAGCTAAATACTTCAAAAGGCAAAAGTCTCAATCTGCTCAGTATTAATGCTACTTAGCTAATATTTCCTGAGTGTTTGTGCAGCTCAGCACTATGCTTTATGCAAACTCTTGAATTCCACCTTCACGGCAACCCTATTGTTATCCCTTTCTTACCAAAAAGACAACTGAACTTCAGAATTCAAGTTATTTGCCCGAGGCCCTATAGCTAGTGTATGTGGGGGAGGCAGGATTTGAACGTAGGACCAGGTAGACCTTGGGACCAATGTAAACATGGAAGCTGTGGCTGGTTCCTCATGAGCACCTTAGCTTTGGGCCTGACCTGGGAACCACACTGCTTCTTTTGACAAAGACTCTGGACCTAAGCTGGCCGGGCAGCTAGGGATGCTGGTCCGAGAGAGTCAGATGGAGAAATCTGATGAACAAATTCCCACGCCCCGTAAAGACTCAGCCAGAGGTATGATCTCAGTGGGCTGGTCACTGAGGGATAAAAAAGCCGTGACTTCCATTTCATATTTAATGAGACCTCTGGTGCATGCCCAAAATGGAAACATTTCTGTTTATAATCTCAGTGGCAGAATGCTGTGAAGGAGAAAGTGATTGCTTTGGTAGTTATGAACATCATAAAGAACTCTAATTTTAAAGCTATTTTGGGGGCTTGCTGATTAGCTGGCACTAAAGATTTACTGGTGATGATAACTGAGGCTCACAGCACTCGTAAGTCTTAGGGGATAACTATTACATAAAAGAGTTTCATTTGAACTTTTTCTATTATAATTTAAGCAATGATTTAAAAATGCTATGTGGCTAATTCTATTTAAAGACTAGTTAATTGAAAAGTGGAAAAAAAAAAAAACCTGAACAGGTTATTTAACAGAGTTAATTGGCGGTTTGACTAAAGTTTTTTGAGGCATCTTCTCAGCCAAACTACTTCTCAGGCATTATGGGCAGCAAATAAGGAGGCACTTCATCCCCCCTCCCCGCTCCCTCTCCCACACACCTGACAGCTACTTTGAGTAGGAATGTTTGTGTGTGTGTCGGTGAAGGAAGTAGATCTGTATTTGACCAAACCAGCTAGAAAAACTGCAGGATCTCTTCTGCCTTGAAGGCTACTACCTCCTGAGCCAAGGGATGGGACAAACCTAAGAGTGAGCTTTGTGACCTATAGTTAGCATCCTTGTCACGAAAGTGATTGAGATCATTGAGAATCAAGCCTTTATCAGAAATATTCTGTCTTCATGACAAAGTACTCCACATCACTCGGCAGCGGGGAAATACAAATCAAAACCACAATGAGATACCACCTCACACCAGTCAGAATGGCTAAAATTAACAAGTCAGGAAATGACAGATGTTGGTGAGGTGGCAGGGAAAGGGGAACCCTCTTACACTATTGGTGGGAATGCAAGCTGGTGCAGCCACTGCAGAAAAGAGTATGGAGGTTCCTCAAAGTTGAAAATAGAGCTACCCTATGACCCAGCAATTGCACTACTGGATATTTACCCCAAAGATACAAATGGAGTGATCTGAAGGGGCACGTACACTGGAATGTTTATAGTAGCAATGTCCACAATAGCCAAACTATGGAAAAAGCCCAGATGTCCATCAGCAGATGAATGGATAAAGAAGATGTGGTGTATATATATACAATGGAATACTATGCAGCCATCAAAAGAAACGAACTATTGCCATTTGCAACAACATGGATGGAACTAGAGGGTATTATGCTGAGCGAAATAAGTCAATCGGAGAAAGACAACTATCATATGATCTCCCTGATATGAAGAAGTGGTGATGCAACGTGGGGGGCTTTGGGGGTCGGGAAGGAAAAAATGAAACAAGATGGGATAGGGAGGGAGACAAACGATAAGTGACTCTTAATCTCACAAAACAAACTGAGGGTTACCGGGGGGAGGGGGGTCGGGAGAGGGTGGTTGGGTTATGGACACTGGGGAAGGTATGTGCTATGGTGAGTGCTATGAAGTGTATAAACCTGGCGATTCACAGACCTGTACCCCTGGGACTAATAATACATTATATGTTAATAAAAAAATTAGAAAATTAAAAAAAAATATTCTGTCTTGCTTTTGAAAACACATTCCATTAAATAAATACAAACAATGTGCATGAAACACAATTCCCAACTACAATAAAATATGTTAAACTTGTTTAAATGATAAAATTACAAAAAGCACTTATTATAAGCGGCAAAGGAAACCTCAAGACCTAATCAGGTCAGCCTTCTGGGCAAATGTTATAATTACAGTCATCATCGAATGCCTCTTCTATGAACTAATCTTGGGAGCGTTAAATTGGAAGTTGACTTTTCTCAAGGAAGAGTATTTTAGTAACAAAGACATATTTTTGTTACATTGCTACTGAGCTTTAGGCATGAATGTGACAGAATCACAGAGCCATAAATGTTCTGAGGGCCATGTGTTGCATCTGCAAATTAATGTTACAAATCACTAGAAAGGCAAGAGGAACTCGCACTTGGATTCATTCCATGCTGGCAGGTCCCGGGAAGGGATGGAGGAGGCTGTTTGGTCTTACAGAGCTAGCTGTGTTAGTGGTCGCTGCTTTGTCATCCCAGCCTTCCTCATCTTCAGTCTCTGCGGCCAGTCAACCACCATGTCCTGCCAATCTTGCACCCTGAGCATTTCTTGATCCACCTCCTGTCCATCTCTACCATTCTTTCCTGCCTCCTCAACTTCACTGGGACCCCCTGCCACAGCCTTCTAACCAGACTCTCTTACTCATCTTGTCAAGGATGGAGATTCTAAGGCAATGGTCCCATCATTTCTGGCCTAAATACACCCAAAAGGTTCCTGTGTCTGCAGGATGTGGAACCCTGTTCAGTGCTCCTGCCTCCTCTCTCTCCTCCTAGGCCCCAGCGCAAGGTTTGGGTTCCAGAATAGCACATACCTCCCCTGTGTACCTCTATTAGCGGAGCTCCTTCTAACTTGGAATGACTCTGTCCTCCCTTCTGCCTGTGACCAACACCAGCCCTTCAAGACTAAGCTTCAAGAGGCATAATCTCCTCCAAAAAACCTCTCCTGACCTCTTCACCACTTGTCCTGACTGGACTGAAGGACCCCTTGATCATCTAATGCCATTTCTATGGACTAATCTTGGGAAGGACTAATCTGACTCCTTGTCAGAAATCCTGGACCCGTGGGTCTTTGTCAAATATGTGACAGACACCAGTTTCTGTTTTGTACCTTCTCTTTTCCCTCTCTTGAAGGTGTATTTTGATGAGTAGAAATTATCATTTAAGTTTCCAATGCATCTGTAGTTGATATTTGTGTGATACGATTCATTTTACCCATAAAAGTAAGACTTATCCCTGCCTCATTTTTCAGTGGGCCATTTTCTTACTAGTGGACATGTGGGTCTCTGTGATGTGCCTCATCTGCAGACATGTGTAGATACGTTTCTGGCCTCCCTTTGGTGTCTTCATTAGTCTGTTTGCATATCTCTATTAAAACCACATTGTCTCAATTATGACAGCTTTCTGAAATGACTTCATCATGTAAGGCAAATCCTCCTGCCAGGTTCTCCTTCAGAACTGCCTTAGTGTCATCCCCTTCCCCCACGCCCTTACAATTTCATGAACATTTTAGAATCAGGCTGTCATGGTTAATGAAAAACGGATTTTGTTATTTTTAAATGACACTAATTCTTCCTATTCATGAGAAAGTATATAACTCCATTTATTGAGGTCTTTTAAAATACCTTTGAGTAAGGTCTTACAATTTTCTCCATTAAGGCCTTATATAGAAGTATTAGATTTATTTTTAAATATCTTTTTAGTCGCTATGAAAATAATCTTTCTAAAAATACCAACTTTTTTTTTTTAAGTATTTAAGAAATGCAACCTTTTCTTTTAAGGCTCCATGCTGGGCATGGAGCCTACTTGAACTCACAACCCTGAGATTAATACATGAGCTGAGATCAAGATTGGATTCCCCAACTGACTGAGCCACCCAGGCACCCCCAAATTTTTTATTCAAGCTTTTTAAGAAAAGGTATTCTTGAATAATTAATGTTTCCAACCAAAAAAAAAAAAAATTAAATCTGCAAGTCACACTTTAATCTAGTAATGTATTTTCTAAATTCAAACCAACCTCAAATTCCTGGTTAGAGAGCCTTTTTTATACATTGTTAGATTTGACTTCCTAATATTTTTTCTTTTAAGATTTGTTTTTCATCACATTCATAAGTAAGATCAATCTTTAATATTCTTTTGGGGGGGGCGGATTCTGTCCTTACCTTGTTTTGGTGTCTATTTATACTAGCTTTATAAAATCAGTTGTGGAGGAGTGCCTGGGTGGCTCAGTGGGTTAAACTTCTGCCTTCCGCTCAGGTCATGATCCCAGAGTCCTGGGATCATGCCCCACATCAGGTCTGCTCAGCAGGGAGCCTGCTTCCCACTCTCTCTCTGCCAGCCTCTCTGCCTACTTGTGATCTCTCTCTCTGCCAAGTAAACAAATAAAATCTTAAAAAAAAAATCAATTGTGGAACAATGCCTGCTTTTCTCTGGAAGAATCTGTATAGTGCTGGTATCATTTGTTCCTCAAGTGTTTGTTGGCACACATAGAGAAAAACAATCTGGGCCTGTTTCCCCCCAGGTATCCCCCCCGCCCAATTAGGAAGACTTTTAACAACCAATTAAGTTTCTTTAATGATTATTTGGCGATTCTGGGTTTTTCTTTTCCCTGTGTCCATTTTTGCTTAAAAAATATATATTTTCCCCAGTTGCTGAATGTACTTGTTCCCTATTTATCCATTAGATAACCTATTAATTATTTTTCAAATCTTCTATATCCCATTTTCCCCTCTTTCTCCAACTGACAGTTAATCTCTCAACTATTCAGAGATGTGTTAAGAATCTCCTACTGTAATAGTAACTTTGTAGATCTATTAATTTTTGTTTACCTATTTTTTGCTTTATATATTTTTCTGTACATACAAGTTTACAGTTATTATACCTTCCTGATAAATTGTACCTTTTATCATTACATAGCAAATATTTTTAGTAATGCTTTCTGCCTAAAATCTGCTTTTCCCTAATATCAATAAAACTATGCTCGTTTTCTTTCAACCAACATTTGGTTCCAATATCTTTTTCTATCCTTTTAGTCTCAAATGTCCTGTGTTCTTATTTTTATTGGAGATGTGTCTTATAAACAGCATATATTGGGTTTATTGTCCAGTCTAACATGCTTTGTCTTCTCACTAATGATTTGATTCATTTGCATTTATATTGATTACATATAGATCAAAATATAATTCTACCATCTTATTTTGTGCTTTTTTTTTTGTCTTGCTTTTTTTTTTTTTTTTTTTAAATGTTTCTCCTTTTCTCTTTTCTTGCCCTCCTTTGGAATGAACTTCTTTCTCATTTCATGTTTTCTCTCCCCTGTTCTGGAAGTTAAAGACTCTAATGGTTGCCCTAAACTTAACATCCACGTTTACTTTAGCATCTTATACAGCTTAATAATATCTTCGCCTTGTTCCTAAACGACACAAGGGCCCGTGAGTCCTTCAGCTCTTAGGACCAGGATCTTTGCTCAGGGTTTCCTCCTGCAGCTCAGTCCTTTATCCAGCGACCGTTACTTTTCCGCTTGAAGTACAGAATGTGAAGCTTCTTTAGTTACGGTCTATTGGTAGAAAACTGTCTCAGCTCTTGTTTAAATGAAAAGGTCTTTTAACTTCTTTTATTCATAAATGAGAGGTTTCCCTGAGTAAATAATTCTAAAATGACAGTTATTTTGTCTCTGCATTTTGAGGATACTGTTCTAAGAGCTTCAGACTTCCACTATTGCTATGGAGAAGTCAGATGTTAGGCTAACTGGCTTCCTTCTGTGAAAATCTGTCTTTGCTCTCTGCTGTTTTTAACATCTCTCTGTTGTCCCGTGGTTTTGCTATAATATATGTAGAAATTGGTATATTAATATATATACTGCTTAGGATATATTGAGTTCTTGAATTTGATAATTGGGGTCTTTCATTTATAATGGAAAACTCGGCTATTATTTCTTCAAACATTACATCTCCTACAGCTCCTATTTTTTTTCTTATGGAACTCCAATTAAATGTATTTTAGAGCCTTGCACTCTAGCCTCTACGGCTCTTAACCTCTCTTTCATATTTTCCATCTATTATCTTTTTATGCTATATTCCAGGTAATTACTTCACAACTATTTCTCAGTTCCCTAATTCTTTTTGGAGCTATGTCTTATCTGCTATTTAACACATGTATTCAGTTTTCTGCATAAGTTATCATATGTCTCAGTTCTAGAAATTTTATTAGGCTCTTTGTTAATTCTGATCATATCTCAAAGTCTCTTGTTTCTTTGTCAGACTTCCAATAATCTGCACCTTCATTTTGTATGAATTTCTTTAAGCATATTTATTTCACATTCCGCATGATAATTACTATATATGGCCTCTGATTATATTATTATTATATATTATTATATTATTATCTGACTATACTGTTTGTTTCTGCTGGTTCTTGTTTATGTTAACTTTTCCTTTATGTTTTGTGATTCTTTAGATTGGGAACTTATATTTCTTGAAACTTACTTACAGGAATTGTTAAAGCCTATGTTAGATGCATTCTTCCAGACAGGATTTGTGTTTTCTCCTCTCAGTCCCTCTGGGCACTACCAAATGGGAAACCTTAAATTCTGGGCTGCAGTTTTTTGTACAGTCAGGTAGTGTAAATTCTAACCTCAGACGCACATGTGGACTGGTTTTTGGTTAGGAATTCTCATGAGAGAATACCTTTTCTTCCCTTTACCAAATGCCAAAGCCCAAACTGCTAATTTCCTTACCTTCACCCTTGGTGGGGAGGAGAATGAGTTCAGTCACACTGGTGTCACTTTCTATGGGTACCTTACTTATGTTCTGGTCTTTGATCCAATCTCACCCCTTGCCTGGACCCTGAGCTCTGTCTCCTATCTCGAAGCCTGGTCCGCTGTGAGTGAAGTTCTAGGTTACCAAGAACTGGCACATGTCACCTGCAAGTACTTATCCTTTCGGATTTGGGTTTCTTAACATTTTTGACCCCTTATGAGTTCTCTTATTTTTTACCAACTGAGCAATGCTTAAAAAAATTTTTTTAACTTAGGAACACTGTTTAGTATTTATCCCTGTATGATTTTTAAAGGCTATCTTCATTTCTATATTGCCAGAAAATGAAACTTGAGAAAATTTTTAAAAAATATTTGAATATAAGAGAAGGAGAGATATGGCAGAAAAAGCAACAGCAGGACAGAGTCAAGAAAGGGCTCCTTTTTTTTTTTTCGCCCCTTAATTCAGTAGAACTTAAATTTACAGGCTATGGGAAAGAAATAAAAACAAAAAGGAGGCAGAGGTTAAAGGTGGAGATGATGGAGAAAAAGAAGAGGACTACTGGACAGAGGGAAGTATCAAGGGAGAAAAGGAGAAGGTGAGAAGGAGGATATAGGCGTAAGACTGGCTTTGAATAAAGGAGTGTGTGGTAGGCTGAGTAGTGGCCCCCCAGTGTGTCCACATTCTAATCTTCGGGTCTTGTCAATACGCAATCTTATGTGCAAAGGGACTTCACAGGTGTGATTAAGTTAAGGATCTCAAGAAGGGGAGAGTGTCCTGGATTGCTTAGGTGGGCCCTAACTGTAACCACAGGTGTCCTCAGAAAAGAGAGGTCTGACTCCAGAAGAGGAGAAGGCAATACGGGACAGAAGCAGAGATAGGAGTGACGTGCTTTGAGGATGGAGGAGGAAACCGCTGCCAAAACATGCAGCAGCTTCTTGAAGCTGAAAGAGGCATGGAAATAGATTCTCCCCTCAGAGATTCCAGAAGCAAGCCGCCTGCTGACAGCTTGGCTTTAGCCCAGTGAAAGTAAGTTCAGACTTCTGACCTCCCAAACTGTAAGAGAATGAATGGGTTGCTACAAGCCACTCGGTTTGTGTTAATCTGTTAGAGCAGCAACAGGAGAAGAATACAGAAGGAACACCTTCTCTGAGAGCTTACAAATGGGACTTTCTCTAACACATTCAGCTGGAGAGTCCAATTTGGGTATGGTAATGTTCAAATGTTAACCAACTTGCATGTATTAAGAATTCTTTGTATTATCAATCTTAAGCTAAATGCATTTAAATTAAAAACTACTTTGCTTTAACTCAAATGCATCGAGGGGAATCATAGACATGCATGTAAAATCAAGTGACACATATAATCTAATTATGTTTAAGCAACAAAGTGGAAAGGGTATTTCAATTGGCATAATGGTGACTTTGACAGCAAGCTGTAGTAATTTTTGAAGACGTTATTTATTTATTTATTTATTTATTTAATACAGAGAGATGGAGAGAGGATGAGAGAAAGCACAAGCAGGGGAAGCTGCAGGCAGAGCGAGAAGCAGACTCCCTGAGGAGCTGACACAGGACTCGATTCCAGGACCCTGGGATCATGACCTGAGCAGAAGGCAGATGCTTAAGTGACTGAGCCACCCATGACCGCCCCCCCCCCTTTTTTTTAGTCATCTCTACAGGCTCAAACTTATGACCCTGAGGTCAAATGTTGCAAGCTCCACCCACTTAGTAAGCTAGACACCCTGAGCTGTAGTAATTTCAATTTCAACCGCCTGCTTTTTTTCTCAGAACTTCCCCCATTCCACTCTGATGCCTGAGGTCACATTTGTAGAGCAGTGACATCTCCACGTATCTACCTAGCAGCTAACTCTGGGGCATCACCAACCCTGCTTCTGTTATCTGTCTGGCTGTCGAGGCCTCACTACACACATCAATGTTGCCTTGCTTTCTGGGCTGGCTAACTCTTAGTGCTGGTGCTGTATGGGACTCTACAGCCATGGAACCCCAGAATTTGTGAACAAAACAACAACAGCATAGAATCCTCCAGAAAATAAAATATAGATATATAATACATATATTTATATATAAATAAAATATAATAAATATATTTGTATATTTATAAATAAAAATTTAAAATAAAATTTATAAATTTTATAAATATAAAATAATTTATATATTTATATAAACATAAATAAATTTATAATTTATAAATTTATAAATAAATAAAATATATTTATATATAAATAAAATATAAATATAAATATAATTGGGTAATTGACTAAAAAAGAAGTCTAGAGCCACTAAAACATTAATGAAATAACACAGGCACTACTTACGCAGGTGGGCTATCGCCACAATATTTTCCAATTCTTTTAGCGTCATTGATTTCTCCACCGTTGAACACAGCCACAAAATCATACCGGCAATAGTTGTCACGCTCAACATCAAACTTCTCAAATTTTAATTCTATAAGCTTTAGAGAAAGCACAACATTAGAAATATCAAGATAGCACTGAGGAATAATCTCAAATGGGAATCTTCCTCTCCCCAGTACTGCAAGATTTTCCTTGGTAAAGAATGTGTTCATTCTGTTTGAATTATTTGTTTCTTATTGTTTTCATATTTCTTCTCTAATTAACAAAACTGTGGTATTTTTTATTTTAATAATTCCAAAAGATCAATCTTAGTTAAGATCTTAAACTTGAGAGATCTGTTCACCTACAGTTACAAATGAATGGGAACACCATGTAACCCTAACAACCTACATTAAGAACATAACTGGATACGTGTTAGAGTGGGGAAGCAGAGGTATATACCAACTTCATTCTTCTCCTCTGACATGTCCCCTATGTTAGAGTGTGTTGAGGTGTGGTGTATGTGTTACGTATTTGGGTAGGTGAGATGCTGGACGGAGTTGCTCCTCTTTCAAGGGAAGGAGAATGATATTCCTATTATATGTAAGAAGATAAATTCGTTAGGACCAGAGATTCAGGAAGTAGAGATTGACTGTGAGTCTTCCTGAAGTTTGTTTGAAACATGTGCCTACTGAGTTGAGCACAGCCTACTTGGTGATGTGTTTGATTTTTGAAGAGGCTGCTTGAAAGCATTGATAAACAAAGTCAGTGTTAGATTTCTTAAGTATTAGTTTTTTGTACTAGTACCAATAATAGTATCCTTAAGTTATTCAAGTCAATAGGAAGTTTTGTTTTAATAGGCAACGTTCCCCTCACAAGCAGATTTCCAGGGCACCTCCAATTTGTGAAGCAAAGGAAATCTCACTGGGTTCATCAATACCCACGGTACCCAGATAGCTGGTTCTACGCAAGTGGGCAGGCAACCCTCCCTGCTGCTTAGAGAAGATAATGGCATTAATTTCTGTTAGGACAGGCCGTAGTTATTAGCTAAAGGAGACTCAAACACAATAATTGGATGAAGATGGTAACAGCAACAGCACCACAGAGGGACCAGTGGTAAATTTTGGCTTTGAACATAATAGTCACATATCTACATATTTACATATTTACCCACCTTTAAAAAGTCAGCACCAGTTATAACAGCTTATTCATATTTAGCATTGTTTTAAATTATATTAAAATATTTCCTCTTTGGGTCCAATAATTTCTCACCGGTTAGTAATAAAATGTTTTCCAGATTATTAAAAATTGGCTGAATTTTCTCTATTTAGAAATTAGTCACATAATAACTTTTGGAGAAAGGATTAAAAATAAGTAAATAAAAAGGGGAATAAAGGGGAAAGCTATGATTAAAAAAATGAAAATAAATCTTTAACTTATGCTCATAGGTTTGCACAGAAGGTACTTAGGACTTAATCTTCCCATTATATTCTTCTTTGACAGTGCTTCCATGATTTCAGGCATTGCAATAGTCATTAAAAATTACTTGGCTGGGGGCGCCTAGGTGGCTCACTGGGTTAAAGCCTCTGCCTTCAGCTCAGGTCATTATCCCAGGGTCCTGGGATCGACCCGCATTGGGCTCTCTGCTTGGCAGGGAGCCTGCTTTCTCCTCTCTCTCTGCCTCTCTGCCTACTTGTGATCTCTGTCTGTCAAATAAAATCTTAAAAAAAAAAAACAAAAAACAAAAAACAAACAAAAAAAAAACTTGGCTGAAGCCAAAAATCACATTAGTAAAATGAAAGCCAAATTTAAGTTTAAATAATCAAAGAGATGAACAATGGAAAAAAGATGCTGAATTGTAATCTGCAAGGATAACTAGGCTGAAATTATTTAGGCTAATTAATACATTTCCAAATGTCACAGAGAGAAAAATGACCAGCACAATCTCAAGAATTACATAATGGAGGGGCACCTGGGTGGCTTAGTGGATTAAGCCTCTGCCTTTGGCTCAGGTCATGATCTCAGGGTCCTGTGATCAAGCCCCATATTGGGCTCCTGCCCCATGTTGGGCTCCTGCTCAGCAGAAGCCTGCTTCTCCCTTTCCCAGTCTCTCTGTTTGTGTTTCCTCTCTAGCTATCTCTCTCTGTCAAAGAAATAAAACCTTAAAAAAAAAGAATTACATAATGGCTTAAATATCAAGAAATGTGATTTTTAAGTGTTAAACTATTAAAAAGTTCAATAAATTTATAGAATCTTTCATCATTAAGTAAATGACCATATTTTTATTCTTGAAAATAAAAGTGGGTTTGGAGATTATGATCAAAGTGTATGTGTGTGTGTGTGTGTGTGTGTGTGTGTGTGTGTGTGTTTATGAGAGAAAGAGAGAGTTCAAATCACTAACTTGCATGGTATATTTGCCTGAATAATTTTCCATTAAAAAATCAATATATGACAAATAGTATTTGTGTAAGTCATACAAAAGATCAGCTTAGAAAATTTTTTAAAGATTTATTTATTTGTTTTAGAGAGAGAGAAAGAGCATGTGTGCACACACGAGTGGAGGGGCAGAAGGAGAAAAGCAGATTCCCTGCTGAGTAGGAAGTCTGAGGCCTCCATCAACAGGAACCTGAGATCAGGACCTGAACCAGAATCAAGAGTGGATTGCTGAACCAACTGAGCCACTCAGGTGCCTAGAAAAAGTTTTTTTTAGACAGTATCATAACACTCACCCTCTAGTGTTTGAGTAAAGTCTGTAGTGTTTGTAACAATAATTTTTTAAAAGTTATTTTCCCAAGTCCACAAAGTAGACTTGGTCTATTCCCATGCTAAGTTTTGTCCTGCAATTCATATCACTTTCAGATTAGCCTTCAGACTCGTTCTCTGAGGGGAAGATGTGGTGTGCCTGCCTCGGCTCTGTCCAGGTGAAGGCATCACAGTTTATCTGCCATGTGAACATATGGTGACCTGAAACCTACATGTACTTGGGGATTCTAATCCTCCCATACTCAGTCTGCTGTTTATAATACCTTCCCCAGGGTTCAGAAATCTCACAGGGATTTGCTTACTATTTGTATTGAAATTTGAAAATCATATTTATATACTAGGAAATTAAATGCACAACTTTTGTAAGTCAAATAGTGCAAAAGCAATTTTAATCTGGGTCTTTGTATGAAAAGATACCTGTGTCCAGCAGGGCCTTCCTCACCCTGCATGCTAAGCTCTTGAGAGATGGGCCCCTTGCATCATCTAAGCAATTCACACACGCACACTTTCTTCATGTTTTAGGGAATCTTACCTGATTCTTTGGGGCTACAATGTGCCACACACAAGTGACTCCTGCAGGGTAATCTCGGTCTGGCCAGTTGGGGGTTTTAAAAGAGCCAGAAGGTCTTTCAAGGCGTCCTCCACAATACCGATCCCCTGAATTTTTAAAGTATGAAAAAAAAAATCCAGGTTATGGCAATGCAACTGTAAGAAGACTGGGATTTAGAATATTGGTAATAATACAGTGAATAAAGCCAATGGCAGAAGGTCTTCAATTTTTTCCTAAAACATGGTTACACAGCCTCCTTCACCCCCCACCCCACCCCCACCAGCCACACACTGAATGCTCTGTTACCTGACCTATCACATGAGCACAGGAGAACACAGGAGTGGAGTCAGGCCTATAGCTTTTCTTTCTGTTTTTTTGGGCAAGTGAAGACAAGACATTTGGGCATGAAACATTCAGAAATCATGCTGGCTCAACAAATCATACAGATTTTAAAGAACCTTCATGACAGAGGTGTTTATTAATAGGATTAAAATGCATGCCCACGGACAAAATTTGAATATGTTGGCAGAGAATACTCTCATTACCAGAAAACTCTATATGCTACGCATCTTTAATAATTTTAAGAACAGATTTTGTTTGTAAAAAGTGTTTATAAATTTTCAGCAATACAAAAGAGCATCAAAGAAAATTAAGAAAATTACCCAAAATCCAACCACCTAAAACTAACCACAATTAATATTTGAGAAATATCATTTCAGACATCTCCATGCATATATACTGATAGGTCAACAGGAATAATTTCAGGACAATATATATATATATATTTTAAATTTTATTTATTTGACAGAGAGAGGGAGATAGTGAGAGCAGGAACAGAAGCAGGGGGAGTAGGAGAGGGATAGCAGGCTTCCCGTAGAGCAGAGAGCCTGATGTGGAGCTCGATTCCAGGACCCTGAGATCATGACCTGAGCCAAAGGCAGAGGCTTAATGAGTGAGTCACCCAGGTGCCCCAAAACAGTATTTTAATACAAAGTTCTAAATTTAATTTTATTTGAATTAAACTAACAAAAACTGAACTGAAACTAAGAGAACTTAATATACTTTATATTATTTCTTTGACACAGAAGATAATCATTCTTAAAAGGCATCTCTAAGAAAATGCACTATAACAATTGAGGCTGGATAATTTCTAAAACTTTTTATCATGGAAAATTTCAGGCAGATACAAAGTAAATAGACTAATATAATGAGCTTCTATGTAGCCGTCACCCAATTTCAACACTTAATTATCATTCTACTGTTCTTTTTATTAATACCATTATCCAATCCCCACCACCTGCTTTATTATTAGAGATTTCAGGGAGGTAAATTCATGTACTGTGAAATGCACAAATATTAGCTGTACTAATTTGAAAAATTAATCTCCTTGTGTTAGCCACACTCCTGTGACCATACAGAATCCATTTCCCACCAAACTCCTGTATTCCTTCCCAGTCGGCCAACTCTTCACACCACTTTTCTGAAAAATTTTACCTTAGATTAGTTTTATTCTTCCCAAACATGGACTCATGTATTGTGGACTCTTCTGCGTCTGGTTTTCCCTACATGGCGTCTGAGATGCATTCATGTTGCCGTTTGTATTCATAGTTTGTTGTTTTACTCTGCCGGGTGATTGTGGGTGTGGAAACACAATTTGTCTCCCTCTTCTTCTGCTGGACATTCCTTTGGGTGTTTCCAGTTCAGGCTATTGTGAGTGAAGCTGCTGTGAACTGTTTTGTACATCTCTTTGTGGACATGCATTTTCATTTTTCTTGCACAAGTACCCAGGAAAGCAATTCCTGGGCCAAGAATAGCTGTCAATGTTTAATTTCAGAAGAAACTACGAATGATTTCCCCTCGAGACTGCAGCATTTTGTACGTCTCCAGGTACGAGCACTTTGGTCGTACTTTGACGATGTCAGTTATATTTGCCAATCTGGTGGGTTTGTAACGGTTCCTCAGGGTGGTTTTAAAAATGTTATTTTTATTTATTTGACAGAGAGAGAGATCACAAGTAGGCAGAGGCAAGCAGTGATGGAGAGGCAGGCTCCCTGCTGAGCAGAGAGCTTGATGCGGGGCTTGATGTGGGGCTTGATGTGGGGCTCGATGCCAGGACCCTGAGATCATGACCTGAGTTGAAGGCAGATGCTTAATGACTGAGCCACCCAGGCATCCCAGTAGTCTTTTATATTTACCATTTCCAGTGGCTGCCAATCCTATTACCTTTGTGTTACCCTGTGGGACCATTTCCCTTCAATTTGAGGAACTTCCTTCAATATTTCTTAGGATGCAAGAAATGTCCTTAATCCACTTTCATTTCTTTTTTTTTTTTAAGATTTTATTTATTTTATTTGACAGACAGAGATTACAAGTAGGCAGAGAGGCAGGCAGAGAGAGAGAGGAGGAAGCAGGCTCCCTGCCCAGCAAAGAGCCTGATGCGGGGCTCGATCCCAGGACCCTGGGATCATGACCTGAGCCGAAAGCAGAGGCTTTAACCCACTGAGCCACCCAGGCGCCCCTCCACTTTCATTTCTAAAGACCAGGTATATAATTCTGGGCTGATAGTTTTACTCCAGCTACTTTAAGAACGCTGCTCTACTGCCTTCTGGCCTCTACTGTTTCTAATGAAAAGAAAGCCATCCTTCACATCATCTTTCCCTTGTATGTGATTTGATTTCCATCTCACTAATTTTAAAACTTTCTCTATATTTAAAGTTCTGCAATTTTGATGTTCCTCAGTGTGGCTTTTTAAAAATTTATCCTGTTTGGGGTTTGTTGATCTTCTTGGCTCTATAAAATTAACGTTCTTCAATGAATGTGGGTGGCTTCAAGCCATTATTTCTTCAGACTTTTTTCCTGTCCTACTTGACATTGCCTCACTCTCTTGGGCTCTTTTTCTTTAATCTTTTTCTTCCTGGTTCTTCAGATTGGATCATTTCTATGTAGATCCATTGACTCTTCTGCCATCTCCAATCTGCTTGAAAGCCCACCAGGTAAATTTTTAAATTTCAGATTCTGTCTCTTTCAGTTCTAGAATTGCTCTTTTATTCCTTTTTTTTTTTTTATAGTTTATAGTTTCATAGTTCTGTTTCTCTTCTGAAATTCTCAGTCTGTTTACTTACTACACATCTGTTTCCCTTGAAGTCCTTACGCATAGTTACAATAGTTCCTTTAAGTGCTTGTCTGCTAACTGCCACATCTGAGTTATCCTGGGACTGGTTTTTACTGACTGCTTTTCCTCTTGAATATAAACACACTATTCTGGTTTTACCACATAGATACTGGATATCATGAATGATACCTTACAGAGACTCTAGATTCTGTTGTGTTCGTGTGAAAAAGGATTTGGGTTCCAGCAGGCATTTCACTTGCCTAGACTCAAGCTCACGGTGGGTCTCCCTGGCCGTGCAGCAGCTGTAATCTCTGTTCACTTTCACCTTTCAGCTGATGCTTTTGTGACGGGTCAGCTGGACTCCCCTCTATATACACAGAGTTTGGCTGTCACCCAAAGAGAGATCTCGGTGGATTTTACATGTACGTTCTGTGCCTCAGTTCCTCTGTAGCTCCCAGCCAGCATTTCCTCCCAAACGTTCTGGCTGCTCTTGTCAGATCCAGAGCCTGTTCCCTGACATCTCCAACCAAAATGCAGCGCAACAACCTAAAGCAAGAGCAGACTGGGAAATGCCCTCCAGGAAAAGGCTGCATATTTAACAGATCTTGCCCAATCTTATCTCTTCAGGGTAGACGTTTCTACCCATGGATGCTCATATGTACTGACATGAAAACACCCAATATGTAGTTCTTAAGTGGAAAAAAAAATTGTGAAATAATATGAATGTATGATCCCACTTAGATTTTCAAAAAGCTACTGCAGAATTGTACCTAGAAAGGGATGGCAATCACCGACCATGGCTCTTTCCAAGATGGGACTATAATGGAGTGAAGATATCTGTATGTGTGTATGTATATGTAAGCTTCATATTTTTACTCCAGGAATTTCTATATTTGAATTTTGATAAGAATCACATGGGCTTTAAAAAAAGAGACTTTTTTGAAAAAAATAATAAAAATAAACAAAATAAAATAATATAATAAGTATTATAATAAATACTACATATTAAATATAAATAATAATAAATAATATACAATTATAATAAATAAATAAAATTTAAAAAGAGACTTTTTTGAATGGTCTCTTGGAGGTTCAACAGCATTTATTAGCTCTGCCTGAGAAGAACTGCTCTTCAACTTTAGGCTAAAGGAGTAAACACATACAAAGAACCTGGGACAGAGGCTCAGCCAGGGACAGGAGGCACCCACTAACCCGTAAGCCATTATTACCGCCATGATTGCTATTATGTGGAAACACTACCTCTTTCGTTTGGTTCAGCAGCAGAGAACATGGCCATGAAGCCATTCCCAGCCGTGTTGGCATCGGAAATCATCTGCACCATCATCTTGTTACCGCTGGACACAAGGGCTCCAGGCCGGAACGTGCCACAGAAGCGCCCGATACGCTGGCCATTGGTGTGACCATTGTACACGTCTACAAAGTCATAGCGGCACAGGTTGTCGCTCTCCAGATCTATGAATCGGAAATTAAGAACTACCACTTTTCCTTCAGGAACCTGGAGAGAAATTACCAATTGGAAAACCATGTCATGAAAACAGTATCTGAAGTCTTCCCATCTAGCCTGAAGTGAGCAGATTGAAATATACCCAAGACGATGCTTTTCTTCCCACAAATCTGAACTAACCCAGAAGAGGTTTTCTACCATAATGAATCCCTAATAAAATATAAGTATTTATTGTCTTTTGACAAATGCTACAATTCATGAGGGAACACAATCTTATTCCTAGAGAGTTTATCTCAACAAAGTTGCAAAATGTTGGGTTAGTCTTAAAATTTGTAAGTCACTGCTTACAAAGAATACCAGTTCTGACTGGACCTTAGCAACCCCATTTGCAAACTGTAAAACACCATGGCACCCAGAGATATTGCTTGGCAAAGAAATATTTGAAATAGCATTCTTCACAAATAATACAACAGGATAATCTCAATATGTAGAATACTTCTATCAAGTTTGGATTGTTTGGCAATTGTGCAGTTAATTTACAGATACTTCAGTTTGGGTCCTGAAAAATCCATATCAACTATTTATCCTGATGACGCTGAGTAATTACCGAATCATCTCTTCTCAGAATCACTGAGTTTTTGTTTTCCATATGGAAACTTTATATACCAGGTGTCCTTGAAACACAATGCACTGATGAAAAAGTTGAGTTTTCACTTTCTTCTACAACTTTCTTCACCATAATTTCCTCCATAGAATTCTTATGATGCTTCCCTCCTTGTTCCCTAAACAGGCAGAAAAAATGGCTACAAAAGCATTCCGCAGGATTCTAACAAAAGCCCCATTTCTTTTCCAGTGCACACTATCTTTTAATTTACTCATCCAAGCATTAGATCATAAAGTCTCACAATCAGATGCATTTTATCTTTTCAACTCGATGAGCTCTCCACTGTATGATGTAAGAATTTCATTTTACAGATGACAAAAAGTCAGTGATTTGAAAGACAAACCCACTACAGCCAATGGTAGTTGGTTTATATTCATCTTAAGTAATTATCTCCTATTCAAGGGTCAATAGATGCTTTAACATAAATGTGGCTTCCTATGCTGGTGAGTTCAGTGCCATAGTTTGTTGTTTTTTTTTCTCCTGTGATAAGAAGCAGTGTTTCAGTACTATTTGCCTTTGGTGTCAAAGACATATACACCCCATGGCAAAAACTGTAGTGCAGGAGTCTCAAAAGGATATTTTGGCTTTGTCATGGCTATATTCTAATTGCTAGGAGCTTATCTTAATAGTGTATTAGAAGTTCCAAAAGCCACAGTCTATGAAGCTGATAGCAGAAAATGCATTTTAACTTTTAAACATTCTCACTGAGATAGCTCTTGGAGAACTCCTCTGGGTTTTTTGGTTGTATTTATTTTTTTGCATGCAATCTCTAGTTAGCCTATGATCAGAAAATTACAAAAATGTGATGCCACATCTGTAATCGTAAATATAAGCTATCAATCACTGAAAAATTTCCAGCCCAAAAAAACCCCAAAACTGTTCTGAGCTACATTAATTTAACGTTGGTTGTCCCTGCATGAAGAGTGACCGTGTAAATGTGTAGATAAACTGTATGGAGGGTAATTCAAAGCTCTGAGACTCTTCCATGTACTGAGTGAGTAAAAAAGGGAAGAGGTGTCAGGATTGACCCCTGGGGGACTCTGATGCCATTGGGTCTTCCAGATACGGTCAAACTGAGTTAGGAAGTAGGACGCAATCAGAAGTCTGTGGCGCCCAGAAGCCAAGTGAAAAGAGTGTGTTCAAGGAGGAAGTAGTCTGCTGAGTTAGGAGTGGCTGCTGAGTCAAGGAAGATGACTGCAAGATGGCCACTGGGTTTATCAACCAGAGGTCTCTGGTTGGTGGAGCAGCAGGGATAAAGCCTGGTAAGAGAAGGATCAAGAGAAAATGGGTGAGAGGAATAGGGACAAAGTTTTCAAGGAGCTTTGCTGGAAAGATGAACAGAGTAATAGGTGGGTAGCTGGAAGAGGGGGTGGGGGTCAAGGCAGGATAGTTAAAATGGGCTCTATTAAGACTCATTTGCATGCCAATGGGAATAATTCCACAGAGAGGGCAAAACTGATAAAGTAGGAAAGAGATAGAGTTGCTGGAGAAATGGCATTGGGTAGGCAAGGGAAAATTTGCTCTAAGGCACAGATGGGGGGGTGGTCAGCCTTCCAAAGGAGCATGGACTGTTGTGCCTAGAGAGAGGAGGGAAGGCACCTGCAGGTGGGGTTGTAGGTGAGGCTGTGAGAGCAGATGAAATTTTTCTTCTGTGAAATAGGAAACAAGGTCATCAGCAGCAAACATGGATGTGAGAGGAGCTATCAGGAGCCTGGGAGCAGAGGAGAGATGTGTAAATGGATTAAGGAAGTGTAGCAGGAGTGTCAGGAGTGCTTAGAGCTTGCTTGAGGCAAATAAACCAAAAGTGAGGCCTCTTTGCATGGTCGTGGTTTCCCCCCAGCCACACACAGTCCCCAAATGAAGATGCAGAGCAGGTGGAGGGCTGGACTTAAGCAGCAGAGTATGGGAGGTTGGTGGAGTGGGTAAGTTTGCCAAGCAAGGACTATGGAGGGAGGGAGAGCCAAGAGAGTTGAGAACATAGGCAGGGGAATGACCATAATGATGGGCCATGGCATCTAAGCTGGGGAAGGACAGAAACCTTGAATCAGTGGGGTGAGGGCAGTAACAACCTAGGTTGTGGTGGAGACAGGACAATCCAATGGAAGTGGGTGGCCGAGGAAGAATGGAGGATAAGCTTATGGAGGATGGGAGCTGCAAGACCCAACAGGATCCCCCATGTAGGCACCCAAATTACTATGAATTATGACAAGGAAGAGTGTTGAAGACAGTGGCAGCGAGCCAGGGGCTAAAATTTTTAAGAAATGAGGAAAACTGCCCTGGGGATTTTCTACAAGATGAGCAAAGAGGGGCAGAGGAGGGTAGATCTTGTTTCACTTGCAAGTTCTCAGTTCTTTGGCGCTAAGAAAGCTCTGCTGATTCCTTTCTGTGGTCAAGCTGGATACTAATTTCCAATGGGATAAAGCAGCATTTTTCGGCAATAGAAACGAGATTACGTCACTGAAATTTTGAACACCTGCTGATCCCAACAACATCCCCTGGCAAAAACTCTTCTGAAGGAAGGACGCAGAAATCGGCCAGTATCAGTTGTGGGTCTACTGTAACCAGAAACAAACGCCATTTTGCACCGAAGGCCAAGGGCAATCTGTTGCAGGTGAGATGCATACTTCAGGGAACCCTTTCACGACCACACAACAGCTGTTCTTCATTTTAATGTGAGTAATCAAGATTGTCTGGAGCCCTCCCATGTGAACTTTGCTTAGAGCTTCTAGAGGGTCATTCTAAAGACTTTGTAAAGCATATTCTTCAAAGGTGACCTCTCCACTTGAAGAATCTACAGTCTATACTCTTGATTTTCCTTTGTTAAGGATATTAAAAGAACAAATGTATATATATAATATATATATGATAGAGTAATATAACAAACACCTAGGTACCAGCCACCCAGAACTAATTATTGTTAACATTTTGGCAACACATTTTTAATGTCTCTTTTAATAAAATAAATACAAGTTTTCAGATAAAATGAGGTTTATCATCCCCATCCCCATTTCCTCCTCCTTTCTCAGAAGGGACCACTGTCATAAATTCAGTGGGTTTCCTTCTGTGCCTTTCAAAATACTTTTGTATAAATATGTCTATTCATGAAAAATACATGGTTGTGTTTTTGTGTCTGTATTAAAAATTAATGAAGATGGGATAATGCTCTACATATTCTCCAGCCTGGGCATCCTTGAGTTTTCTGGGTGAGGAAGAAGAGAAGGGGGAGAAATAAAAATAAAAACAAAACCGCACAGGGGATACCTGGATGGTTCAGTTGGTTAAATGGCCAACTCTTGATTTTCGGCTCAGGTCATGATCTCGGGGTCCTGAGACTGAGCCCAGGTTCCACGCTCAGTGTGGAGTCTGCTTAAGACTTCTCTCCCTCTCCCTCTGCCCCTCCCCCTGCTTGTGCCTCTCCCTGTGCCCCTCCCCCTCTCTCTCCCCAAAATAAATAAATAAATCTTAAAAAACAAAAACTCATAGGCCCTTCACAAGCTATTCCTTCTGTCTAGAATACTTTCCCACTTCTGCCCTTCTTTCACTCATGTTGAGGGTCTCAGTTTCAAGGTCACCTCTTCTTGGAGGCACTCCCAGACCCCAGCTCCTCCTCCCATGATGGACTCTGCCCAATGAGCTACCTGCCCCTTGTCCCTGAGCATGAGGTCACTCAACCCACCTACTCCCTCACTGTCTATTCTCCCTGAAAGATGGAGCTCTAAGAGGCAAGGCTCCCTCCTGCCTTGGTCACTGCTGCATCCCAGCTTCTGGACAGTGTATGCCCCCAAGCAGAGGGGTCTCATGAAGACGTGTTAAGTGAATGAATCTGCCAGGTGCTCAAAGGAACACCAGCTTCTTTGCACAAACCCTGAACAAGGCACCTACTAGGCAGCCCCACCTCTTGTGTCCTAGTATCTCCTACCCCCAGGAGCATCAGAGTTCCAGAAGGCTGCTCTCCTTTCTAGGTCATTCTTTACAAACAAAAGAAGATGCAGATCTTTTGGGAAACCTTATATTTCAAATCTGCTGGGATGCTAATACTTAATGCAGAAACTCCATTAAGATGCTTTTTTTGGTGGCAATGGAGAAAAAGCTGCTGTTTTGTGAGATTATATAGATCAGGGGATTCATTATCTGCCTGCAGAAAAACAATTCTATATTCATGCTTTTCCCTGTCAACAGCTGAGTCCTGTGTGGGCCAAAACCTCGTTCATGCTGCAACAATGACCTCAGCTCACCCCACAGCCCCTGGGATGTCCTTACTGTCACTGGCCAATGTGCCAAGTGCGGGAGCTGCTGCCAGAGAACCAATAGGGGAAGTATATTTTAAGCTGATGGTTTGCATTTTCAGGATCCTGGGAGCAAAATGCAAAGAGGAGGGCAGCCTCTT